AAGCGGATATCGTGTACAAGCTGATACTGTGGACAAGCTGCTACTGTGGACAAGCTGATGCTGTGGACAAGCGGATGCTGTGGACAAGCGGATACCGTGTACAAGCTGATACTGTGGACAAGCGGATACTGTGGACAAGTGGATACTGTGGACAAGCAGATACTGTGGACAAGCGGATACTGTGGACACGCTGATACTGTGGACAAGCAGATACTGTGGACAAGCGGATACTGTGGACAAGTGGATACTGTGGACAAGCGGATACTGTGGACAAGCGGATACTGTGGACAAGCGGATACTGTGGACAGAGTGATTAACGATGACTGCCTGAAAATCTTTTTCTTCTTCTTCAGCATTCCGAGCCCCTGAGGTTCATTGCTGCAGATACCACCTGCCTCAATTCATCTCTCTGGTTAACCTGTTTTTTCCAGTTGGTGAAACCAAAAGTTTGCAGGTCTGATTGGATATTATCTCTCTATCATCTTCTTTGTCTACCTTTGACAAGCAGATACTGTGCACAAGCGGATACTGTGGACAAACGGATAATGTGGACAAGCGGATACCATTGATAAGTGGATACTGTTGTCAAGCGGATACTGTGGACAAGCTGATACTGTGGACAAGCTGATACTGTAGACAAGCTGATGCTGTGGACAAGCGGATGCTGTGGACAAGCGGATGCTGTGGACAAGCGGATACCGTGTACAAGCTGATACTGTGGACAAGCGGATACTGTGGACAAGCAGATACTGTGGACAAGCGGATACTGTGGACACGCGGATACTGTGGACAAGCAGATACTGTGGACAAGCGGATACTGTGGACAAGTGGATACTGTGGACAAGCGGATACTGTGGACAAGCGGATACTGTGGACAAGCGGATACTGTGGACAGAGTGATTAACGATGACTGCCTGAAAATCTTTTTCTTCTTCTTCAGCATTCCGAGCCCCTGAGGTTTATTGCTGCAGATACCACCTGCCTCCATTCATCTCTCTGGTTAACCTGTGTTTTCCAGTTGGTGAAACCAAAAGTTTGCAGGTCTGATTGGATATTATCTCTCCATCATCTTCTTTGTCTACCTTGTGGTCTAAGACCATTGCTCCCTCGTGTATACAGTTTTTACTTCTCTGTCATCTGACATTCTTTCAATATGCCCCAACCTGCCTGGAAATGGCTAATGAAATTAGAAAACTATATACAACTATAAGAAAGTGGCGGTCAGTGTTCTTCGGTTGTGTGATGATAAGAGAAGCATTTGAGAACATTGAGATGACTGGAAAGATGAATGGTAGAAGAGACAGAGACAGACCAAGATAGATGATGCTTGACAGTCTGAAGTGATGGCATGGTGGAATGTCATCACAGGTAATATTTCTAATTTGTTTTTTAAACAAGGACTGAGATTCGTGCAGAAGCATGAGCATCTATACCGCAAGGCAGGGCACATGAAGACGATAATCTTGCCATCACATGTTACTGCTCAAATGCTCAGCTCTTAAAAACTATTTTCTATTTTGCCCTAACACCCACTTTTTATCTATGACCTCTGTTCATTACATTCCAACATTTGTACACCATTTGTTTCACCATCTCCCACGATCCCCTGAATCATGGATCAGTTCAATATTTTTCTATCGCACCATCCTTCTGGCCAGACCATCCAGGCATTTATCTCTTTGCCTTCCTTTGGCTCTTTTTCCATCAATTTTGACAATCTGTTGTCTTGACATTGACCTGGCTACCACGAGATATGAAGATAAGTGATAATGTGTATCTGTGTATATTGTCTAATCACCCCCATATCCATCAGTCTAGACAGGGATACGGAGTCATGTCCTTTGGCGAGCTCCTTGGTACGTTAAGTGCAGCACGTGGCATTAATAACATCACTTCTGTCCAGTATTGGACCAGCCATATCAACAGCAGTGTCAACAAGATAGTCTGCACGCTCGTTCACTTGAACACCCTCACAACCTGGCACACAGATGAAGGTTAGGGCAGCTATTTGTGAAGTGTTTAGTGTTGCAATCCATTCTTGCCTGCGGACAAGAGGCACCTCCTGCATGAAGCCCTGGATAGAGCTAAGGGTCACAGACTAAAAAGAGGAAAGTCTTGGATGGCGCAAGCTGAAGATACAATTGGACAAGTGTGCAAGCTTGATAAATTTAGGTGAGGAGAGGAGTGGGTCAAAGTGTCCGATCGTGTTTCAGACTTGTGTAGGGTTCTAATTACTTTGGGACGTGAGTGCAGGGACTGGCCAGCTGGTGCTGCAGAATCAGAAGTTCAACAAATGATTCATGACAATTCCCGCCCGAATGACGTGATTGAATATACAGATGGCTCTGTGGTGAGGGGCAGAAGAAGTGTATGGGGGGTTCATAGCGAAGGCGAATGGACGTCACTTGGCACAATAAAGCCTGGCATATGATATCACAACGTCTAGTTTGAGAATGGAGGTGGAGGCAGTCACTGCTGCCTTCCCTTGGCTTGAGAATCAGCTGTACACACATGTCGTCATTGTAACTGACTCACAGAGCATGCTGAGAAAGGTAGAGACAGGCATGCTCCGTGCAGAGTGGCAAGCATCACTTTAGAGTTCCCGGGTAGTTCGCATCCTTTGGATATTTTCTCCAGGTCATGCCGGTGTGTTGGGAAATAAGCAGGTTGATAGACTGGCAGGTTCTGCACCACTTGGTGATGAACTAATATATGACAAGCTGGATGTTGTGAGGGCACTTTGGGAGCGAGTGAACAGTGCCGAGGAACAGATAGATCATTACGGTCTGAGGAGAATGGCATTGCGAGGAGTTACAAGGGGATCTGGCCGACGCTCGACACACGGGGGAGGGGCGAGATGTACATACAATCAGACTGTTGCTGGTACCATTGGAATTTTAACTCTTCGCATGCTGCTTAAGATGGGGACGGAGCGCTTATGGGAGTGTCCCGAGTGCTGTGATATCGATTCTTAATTCAACATTCAACATTCTTGCCTGATAAATCCAGCTTGGATTTTTTAAAGCATATTTATCAAGTCACGTGTGTGAACTTTTGAGTACCAAGCCATGCTAATGCCCTTGTGACAGCCATAATTTCCATTGTAAGGCTACTAGTTGTAACAGCAAAGGTGCCATTCATCTACTTGATGGTTTCCCCCTTGAGCTTACTGTGAATGCCCATGCACTTCGTTGCCACAAATTACAGACCCATCTGTGTATATAATATCATTACACATCATGAATGACCACACTGCTTATAGTGACATCTACAAGCAGAAACTGAGCTTCTCACACCTGGATACCTGCCTTTAAGTAGAAGTACTCAAACAAAAATAATTAAATCATACACAAATAAACAAAAGCAATAAAAAAAACTGTTACAAAACTTACTGTTGCTTGTGATAAAACAGTATCTGGGTCACTGCTCGAAATATTCTTTGAAATATTATTGATTAACTGACTCGATGTGTATGTTGTCCAAATTCTGTATTTTTGTTGAAGAAGTTGTTTTATAAATTTTAACTGATAGATATCATATATTCAAACTGAGATATAAAATGAGAAATTCTCTTTCAAAATATAGTTATAAACAATTCACATATCAAAAGATATCATGTAGCATATTTTAATAATTTCCATTTAAAGCTGCAAGTTAAAGAGAGACCAGGACAGAATGTGTTTTTATTTTAATAGTGGAAAAATATGTATATTTAGCAATTTTACAACCTGCCTCAATTATTTAAAATCTACACCAGTCAATAATTTAGAATAAACAAATTCCTTGTGTGGGTTTTGGAGCCCTATTGTGCAGAAAAAGGAACAGACCCACTACCTTCCTAACAAGTATGTCGTCAGAATCAACTTATTAGGGCTTTTCTTTGAAGTCAGGGTGCATCTGCCTGAAAGGTAAGGAACCAACAGTCTGCATACAAATAAGCCATATTTGTAAAAACAGATGAGTCTGTACAACTCAAGTTCTGTGATGAGGCTCAATTTTAGAAGTGGATGAACAGCCAGAACTTTCAGCTGGAGTTTATAGTTTAGCTTTGATTCTGCTGGGTTTTGTCTTTTCTGGCTGGTCTTCCATCACAGTCTTTGTTTTAGTCGCTGTGTCTTTACACTGCTTTTTTTCCCTTTCTGTTCTTCAGCATCCGAAAGCAGCCTGAGGTGAACCCTGTTGTTTAGGCTGTTCACTGCTCTATGACCAAAATAATTTAAGGAATGGCTGTTTTCATCTCAGCAGACAAGCACCATTCTTTTTTTTTAAATTATGCAGATATTTACAACTATGAGGTCAAGGCTTGGGTGGTTCATCACAGTGGAGGTTGATCCTCAAGGAGCTAACAATAAAAACAAAAATCTTCTCATCCTTATATAAGGTATCATCTAGGAAGGTGAGTGTGATCAGCAAGACTCACCTGCAATTGAACTCCATGATAATAATTAAAGCCATGGATGGAATTAATCCTCTCCACAGCACAAAGCCTGGATAGTACTGTAAAGCTTGTGTTGCTTATGCAGCATGATCTCTCTCTCTCTCTCTCTCTCACTTGGTCTACCTTCTTTATTCCACAAGAAACATAACACCAGTGTGTATGGAACAAAGAATGCTGCAGAAGCTGCCAGATCAGAACAGCAGTACTCTGTCTACCTGTGAAACCTTTCCTCCTAGACCAGCTACCAATCAAAGCCTATAGCCTGGTCTGCAGTGCAATAGCATTAGGTTTTCAGGGTACGGTTAACATCCTCCCAATGTGCTCCTCTATCTGAAGCTGTTGGGACAATGTGAAACATCAGGTTTGATATTTGCTGCATATCTTAGGACATGCTTGCTACATTATCAAGCTTCTATTCCATGCTTCCTTGGCCCCAATATTTCAAATATTTCAAATTTTATGAACATAAACATACCAGTAATGTGCAATGTCCCCTAACAAAATGTAAAACAATATATTCAAGTACTTTCCCTATGAAGCAATATTAGATGGATGCTCTTACCTGTAGGCGAGCATCAGACACTGTTCTAGCTTGGAGAACACTGAATGCCATTCTGGTAGATCCGATGGCTTCTGAGAATGCAGCTTCTTTGTAAGTCTAATTTTCAACAAAAAAGAGTTATATCGATAAATAATCCTAAATGGAATAATAGGATGTTTCCCCGTGTGGGCTCCGCTTCATGACAGACATCGTCTCTTTTGCCCCCTTCTCAACCTCATTTCATCTCTTTTCCCCATTAATCATCTGTTCCTAATTCTATTCTTAAAATATATTTGAGTCTCTCCCTTCCCCTGCCCCCTTTTTTTATTCTCTCTTGCCCCTGTGAGTTTCATTCTTCTTCTGCATTTCTAACCCCCAAGAGAGCATAGGCCCTCAACCAACTCATACCAAGTCGTTCTATCCTTCGCTATCGCATGCAGCGCTTCCCATCTTTTAACTTCACTCTCTAGCCCCCCTTTTACATGTTTTTGTTGTGTCTTTCTTTATTCTTTGCTCCTGTGGGTTCGAGTGGGTTCAAAACCTTATAATTACACTACTAAAAGGAGTTTGTCCTACACAGTGCCAGTTTTTCCTCCTGATTTGCTAGACTTTGTTTAGTTCTCTCAATTAACTTCATATCAGGGTTTCTGCTTGGTAATTTAATTTCTTGTATTTTGTACAGTCATTGGTTATTGACTGTCTTGTCTGTAGTTTATTATTACCTGTATTATTCATTCTGTGCTTTATGGGCTAAAACATGGTGCAATGATCTCAATTCTTTCACATTTTTTATGCTCAAGCTACACCAGAAATTAAAATATGTCTTTAAAAATTGTTTAATCCAAATTAGTGGATGCCATTTGATCTGATGTACTAGTAACTGTGGCATACAAGTCCACCTGATATACAAGTTGAGCTTAAGACTTTTATCTCAAAATTCTGAGTTAAGATTATGCCTGCATGTACAACACATTTTATAGCTGCCATATAAGTTTACCCCTAGCGTTAGAAATGTTTTCAATATTTTATTTTTTGCAGCGGGAAAAGGGGGGGGGGGGAGGGGGGGAAGGGCAGGCAAACTAGTGATTATAAAACTGCCCAGTGACATCACAAACAGTAGTTGAGCACTCTAATGTTCATAAAGCAAAGGGAAACTACTGAATGTAAAACTGCAGGCAAGCCTCAGTACCACTGGTTTTGGGAACCGAGTCTGCTCTGACTGTAAAGTCCAATGTGGGAGTGGGAGTTTCTGCCATAATGTCAGCATTACAAATGTGATACTCTACTATGCTAAGGCCAGATTTCTCCCACACATCTCCTCTATAGTTTGGTGTGTTTGCTCTGTGCAGAGTGGCAAGCATCACTTGAGAGGTCCTGGGTAGTTAGCATCCTTTGGATATTTTCTCCAGGCAATGCGGGTGTTTTGGGAAATGACCAGGCAGATAGACTGTACAGTTCTGCACCACTTGGTGGTGAACTGATGTATGACAAGCTAGATATTGTGAGGGTCCTTTGGGAATGAGTGAACCGTGCGGATGCCCAGATTGGTCATTAGGGTCTGAGAAGAATGATGCTGCGAGGAGTTACCAGAAGATCTGGCCGACACTCAACACTCAGGGGAAAGATGAGACGGATATACAATCAGACGGCTACTGGTGCCATCAGAATTGGAACTCTTTGCTCGCTGCTGAAGATGGGGATGAAGCCCTTATGGGAGTGTCCCAAGTGCTGTGATGTGGATTCTTAATTCAACATTCAGCTTGGTGTGTTTGGCTTCTGGCTAAGTGAGACAGTCCTTCTTTCACTGTCTTCTTCCATATGAGTCATCTGCAGCTGATCGCTCCTAAGTGTCTGTCAATCTTTCAGATTGTGTCTGCATATGTCCTTATAGTATAGCTTTGGCCGTAGTGCAGATCTTTTCAACATTTCCAGTTCAGCATACAAGAGATCCATTGGAATACAGACATTCTCCATGTGGGAGACATGTCCCAACTAGCGGAAAGTATACTATCTGCATTCCTGCTCTTCTGAGTATACATTCACTTCGGCAAAGCCTCTAGTAAAATAACAACAGCCAATAGAAGCTGGAAATAGTTTATGACATCCTATAAAGCAGATTTTTCAACCATTTCAACCCCGCGGAGAATAGGACAAATGTTCCGTGGATCTGCTGACAGCCACCAATATATAAACCCAAATCAAATACAGAGATACTTTTATTTACTAAATCATGACAGGGTGTAAACTTTTGTGGACAACCAGAAAATTTTGGTGGGCCGGCACTGATCTGGGAAGCACAGGTTGACTACCACTGCTGTACAAGACATGCTAAATTTTTTTTTTTTTTTTTCTTCTTCTTCACGTTCACTGGCTGTAAACTTTGATGGAAAATTCTGGTTGCTCATCCACCCTGGACTTGAGACTTGTTCCAGAACCAGAGAATTAAGGGCACATCCATTTTACAGACCTGACTTATCTGTATGCCAACTGCTGGTTTCTTGCCTCTCAGGCAGAGACACTCTGACTTTGAAAGGAAATCAGCAATTACTCAACTCTTAGGACATGCTTGTCAGGGAGGTAGTGGGTCTACCCCTGTTTTCCCCCAAAGTGGGGCCCCGCAACAAACATGGGGATGTTTTTTTGTTCCAATTTGTAAAGTGGCTATCTTACTTGAAAGACATCTGTTTGTTCTGGTTGGTTAGAGCTAGAATACATCTCTGTAGATGTGGAGTCATTTCAATCATTGCAGCACAGGTTCTTGCTGTCAACAACACCCTGAAAGTCATTAAAACATAGGATTCTTCAGTAGCCATAGTTCTAACAAATGCAGTAAACAGTAATCCTAGCAGTAATTCTAGAATTCATTGTAGTTCTAGCCCTACTGAGCCACAGTGGTAGAGTGATTAGTATGATTTCTTACACAGACACATTAATCCTGTATCCATTTCTGTAGTAGGCGGCTTAGATCAAAGACAGTTCTCATCAAGCTTCTCAGAGGGGTATGAGAGTTGCACTGTGGAAGAGATTAGGGCTTCATAGAGTATTATTACCACTCTACAGTGGAAAAACTGCAGCCAACCTCAATCATGAAGATAGTCCAAAATAAATTTTTTAGCGAGACAGTGGACTAAGTTCAATTGCCAGAAGTTAAAGGATTTTTTCCAACCAGTACAATGGGTGTGACCCAGTCTCATAAAATAGGTACCAGACAATTTCCGGAACTGTCTAGAATAAAAATAAAGGTAATGGGGAAGGAACTAGTCACCCCACATCACATGTCATGTCATGGCCTAGAATGAGTAAACGTCTAAAACTTCACCACCCAACTGCAGTATCTGTTATCAGACTACCTCTATCCCAACATCGCTCATTTGTTGGCATTTTACCAGACAACCTTATTAGATTGTGTGCTTTAGGTAGGCACAGAAATCACATCCCATGACAATAACAAGTGTGACTAGCAAGACCCACTTAAGAAAAGTCTGCCACAATTAGAGCATAAGATTTCAGGACTATTGTGGCATGTATTAAAGCTTTTTCTTCAGCTCATAACCTATCGTGGGTATCTGCGTGCGCACATATTTTACCACCCATGCTTTTGTTTCTGACTTGATATTCATAATATGCATATTATTACATGAACATAACATGCTTTATTATTGAAATACAACTGCTGTGTGAAATATGGGAGTATGGAAGGGCCGAATGTAAAACAGGCCTGCGTGCTTATTTGTAACCCTTCGAAAATTAAGTTTGTTTGTTCTACAACCATTTTCTCTTTTACCTCTATTCCCTTTCTGATTTTCAACAGTCCATGGCATCATGTTTCCATAAATCTACCTAAATACCTGCATCATTCATGTCCCGGATGATACACATATATCATCTTCTTCTTCCATGTTCACTGGTAACAGGGTGGTTGGAGCGCTGTCTTGTGGTTTACTGCCAGGCTGTGTCATCTGCAACTTTCAGCCCAACGCATGCAATTTCGCAAACCTCTAAATAGGCACCTTTTACTACATGCTTGTTGGTAGACAATAGGCCTATTCTCCCCTCCCCCCCTCCCCCACCCACACAAAAAATGGGCCCCAGAAATTCTAAATGGATCACATTTGTTAAAACACACAAGTGACATTTGATACAACAATTACTCACTTGCTTTCAGTGATTGCATTTGTTACTGGGTCTGGAATGTCAGTAAGAGATTTCTCCCACAGTCGCAGCTGTTCTGTCAGGTAGTCCAAAATCCTATGAATGCACAAGTTAAAAAGTACAGTGCATACTAGACCTAAAACTGTCTAGACCAGAGGCCTCCAACCTTTCTTTTTGTATATATAACCCCCCCCCCCCCCCTTTGTATATATAACCCCCCCCCCCTCCCCCACCATACCCTCCCCATCACCCCCAAATTACCAAAATGTGATTAAAAAGAGGAAGACCAATTAAAAATCCCAAGCAGTGTTAAAAAGAACTAGAGGAAAAACATCCACATAAAACAAAGTGTCCACATAAAACAAAGTTTCCACATAAAACAAAGTGTCCAATAACCCCCCCAACAATCATCAGGAACTGGCAATTTAGAGTCACAATATCAAAGTGATGGTCAACATTGTTTTGTCTCAATGTTATCTGCTATTTCCGGTCTAGTGATGGACAAGGCATGAGAGAGACCACTCTCCCCATCAAGCTGGTAATGCTGTTTTGTTTTCATGACTGTTAAAGCTGTAGCCCCAATAAAAACATCCTCTGCCTCCCAGGTTAGAGACCACTGGTACACTGATGTGATCAACATCCTGCCAGCCACCTTGACTTCCCAGGTACCTATTTTAAACTGGATCCGCCTGCAAGCCAGAGTAAATTTGTCAAAGAATCCACTTTGATGTGAATTTGAACTCTAGATCTTCAGAGTGGCAGACAAGTGTTCTACAGATGTGAGATACACATATTGTAAAATAAATGAATGAATCAGTCAAATAATTAAAAAAAGGACTGTCCCACGATATGTTCCGTCTCCTTCCCCAGTAGCCAACAAAGAGTCAGCATGCTGAGAATATCATGTACAACTGATTTTTTTAAAGTCTGCCTATGTCTCATCCTCATAAATGCATATCTTCCAGAACCCCTATACTCCCCCCCCCCTTTCCCGATACCCTCCTAAATGAATTAGTCTATCAATGTATGGATTTTCAGTCTGTTCTACTGCATTATCCATCTGATCCAAGACAGCCATCTTTATCATAAAGCAGCTCACTGCCCAGAGGGGTAGAAGCAGATTTATAAACACTGGTACTTAATTAACTGGACAAATATTTATTTAAATTCAGTATACACTGTATGAACTGGACAAATATTTATTTAAAGTCAGTATACATTGTATGAACTGGACAAATATTTAAAGTTTAAAAAGTACTGTATCAACTGGACAAATATTTCCAGTTTAAAAAGTACTGTATCAACTGGACAAATATTTAAAGTTTAAAAAGTACTGCATCAACTGGACAAATATTTAAAGTTTAAAAAGTACTGCATCAACTGGACAAATATTTAAAGTTTAAAAAGTACTGCATCAACTGGACAAATATTTAAAGTTTAAAAAAAAAACATACTGTATGATCTCCACACAGCATAAATATTCTTTTAAATTCAAAACAATGTTTCTGGTTGTGAATTTAAATAATAACTAGCTATAAATTATAGCCCTGGGAGTCACCACGGTGTAGCGGCTAGAAGCTCACCTGTGGATCAGAAGGTCGTGGGTTTGGGTCCTGACGGAGCCGGACATTTTCAAAAATGACTGGTCCCAGGTCGACCCAGTCCTGAGTGGGTACAAGGTACAAGCCCTGTTTCTGGTTGTGAATTTAAATAATAACTAGCTATAAATTATAGCCCTGGGAGTCACCACGGTGTAGCGGCTAGAAGCTCACCTGTGGATCAGAAGGTCGTGGGTTTGGGTCCTGACGGAGCCGGACATTTTCAAAAATGACTGGTCCCAGGTCGACCCAGTCCTGAGTGGGTACAAGGTACAAGCCCTGGGAAGTAAAGGTGGCCGGCGTGATGCTGATGACATGACGCATCAACTGGTGACTGGTCCCAGGTCGACCCAGTCCTGAGTGGGTACAAGGTACAAGCCCTGGGAAGTAAAGGTGGCCGGCGTGATGCTGACGACATGACGCATCAACTGGTGACTGGTCCCAGGTCAACCCAGTCCTGAGTGGGTACAAGGTACAAGCCCTGGGAAGTAAAGGTGGCCGGCGTGATGCTGACCACATGACCCAGCAAGTGCTGATTGGTCCATAAATTACAGATCTAGCCCCCATATACTCAATACACCTGAAAGCATGGAAAATGGTCCCTTACTTACTAGTGTCTCTATAATTTGCTGTTAAAACTACATAAGACCGCTGGTCCAGTACTGGACAGAAGTGATGTTATCAATGCTATGCGCTGCACTTACCGTACCAAGGAGCACGCCAAAGGACATGACTCCATATCTCTGTCTAGGCTGATGGACATGGGAGTGCAGCCTGGAGCTGCAAGAAATGAACATTTCACCAAGGGGAGGAGGCGTTTCATTAACCAACACAGAACAGGCGTCATCAGCTGTTTTACACTTGTGGAGATTTTGAGAAGGAGATCGGAGCACCTATGGATCTGTCCGGAGTGCTGTGATGATAACCCTTTCTAATCACTAATCACTATTTGCATAAGAACTTTTCAGGCTGACACTGGCCTCAACAGCCACCTTTGTATTCATAATCACTGAACCATACTGGACAAACAAAAACAAATATGCCGCCTGCATATATTTAATCTGATCAGAGAAACTTGACACAGGCAGTAATTTTTTGGAATGTCATGAGAAGAAACTAGGACTTGGCTGCAACTGGCAAGAACGATGGAAAAAGAGGGAAGGCAAAGAGATAAATATCTAGAAGGCTTTGCCATAAGATGTGGTGTGACAACAGCAGTGAACTGATCTATGATTGTTGTGATCATGTGCATTGGAAAACATGACTGCCTATGTCAGGACTGTTCAACTAGTGGCCTGTGGGCTAAATCTGCCCAGTGAGAGCCTTGCAAGTTGCCTGTGGATTATTGCCAGCTGTATTGTGTTCACGATCTATCTATGCTGGGGCTCAGGCCTCTGACCCGTGCGATCCCCATTTTCAAAATGTTGGCCCCTGAGCAAACTTAGTTGAATAGCCCTTGCCTACGCTTAACGGCAGGGTACATGATGATGATGATGATTAGGATAATGATATACTCACTCTTGAACACACTTGACACAGGCTCCCTGCATGTATTTCAGGATTTCTGCTGTATCAGAAAAACGATGAAAGGCTCCATCAACTTGTTTATCCTTCTTGGTTTCCTCCTCCTGCACGTAAGTCTCCATGTCTTCCAGCAACACCTTCAGCTTGTCATCCACACTGCGGCAAAGGCTACAATAACAACAAAATACTTCAATCATTCCCCGGCAGTAAAGCATAGCAGCAGTTCTGCATGGCAACTTCTGAAAATAAGTTGATGGCTTCAAATACATTTTCTTCTTTGTCTGCCCTCTATCCTCCAAATATGTATAGTATACCTTATTTCCACATTATATTCGAGAGTCTTCTATTTTTTCCTCTTAGTTTGTTAGCGCAGTTGAAGTTTTATTCAAAGTACATGTATGTTCCAGTCTTTTGATTTTCATATTGTCTATTTTTATGTGCCAGAATTGTTATCCTATTCCCTCTCCTGTTAAAACCATGCATTCTGTTTTAGTTAGTTAGTTGGTTAATCGAAAGATTATCCCTATTTTACAACACACAAGACCATAAGCGCTCAGATCCTATCTTCAGTATATCCCTCAGCAACTGATAACACCAGTTCTGTGTTGGTTTACTATTCTTCTTTGGCTACCTGTATAGCATTCATGTTAGGCAACACCTCTTTTGACTTGAGGTTCTTGTAGTCTTTCAAGTGTTGCTGATTCAAAGTCATCTCTTGAATCATCCTTATTGACAGCACTGAGAATATTAGCTCTGTCCATTGCTTTTCCTGTACCTACCATGACCTTACCAGTAAGCTAATCCGCTTGCTCATTCCCCCTTACTCCAGAGTGTCCTGGCATGAAAATGAAATTAATTCCTTTCAGACGAGATTTCATCAGAAACTCCAAACATTTTCTTCAAATCCATCCTGTCTCTATCTTCTTCAGCATGCTCATAGAATCACTTAGGAAGCATGCATGGAAAAGCTGCTGCGTCTCTAGCCATATCATTGCTTTTGTTACCGCCATCACCTCCATAGTCAGACTACTTGTAGTCAGGGCAAAAGCCCCACTGTCTTTTTTTTTTTTAGTTTTATCTTGAAACAGAACTGGGAAACCCATGAACTCTGTGTGTGTCCAACGACGGATCCATCAGTGTAGATCAGAGCACTTGCATCAGCAGCACTGTCAAGAAATAAGGCCTGAACTTCTGCTTTAACCACCAACTGGCCTTGTCTGCAATCTCTACCCAGTTTTATGCAGACTGAAAACGATATACCCCACTCTGCTGGCTCTTGTGTCTATTCCTCACCAACAGGTTCTCTGTCCTCAATTAAACATACGTGTGGAATAATGTCCACAGCCTGACCAACCCAGGATTTTCCTCTTTTCAACCTGCTACCCTTCTTCCCGCGAATCTCACTGTGAAATGGATGATGTGTGTCAGTACTGATATACACATACGCACGTGCTCGGCAGATCACTGTTCTCACTTCCATGGCTGAAAGATCAAGTAGGTAACACATTGCTCTGCATGCTGCATTTTGTGTGCACCTAAGTATGATGTGCAATGCCTCATTCTGTATCCGATCTAGTCTGTCTATCTGTGTACAGATACAGCATTCTGTCTTATCTTGATTGAAAACTAGCCCCATTTTCTTAGCTGCTCCCTCTGAGTCAGTGTTTTTTTTCCCAGCTCTTGTTCATTTTCTTCAACTAAATGTCTTCTATGTCTTCTTCAAACCAAGTATTCTTCTTGTTTCTAACACAGCACAAGTTTCTTTTACTTTTCTTATAATTTTCACTCACGATAATTGCACAGAATCAGGCACAATGCATCATCATCTTGCTTTAAACCAGACATTATTTCAAAAAGGTCTGATTTTCTGTCATCTTCTTCTTCCTAGCGTTCACCAGCTGTAAACTCTGTCAGAAAGTTCTGATAATTCATCCACTTATGTATCATTTGTAAAAGGCAACTAATTAGAGGTGTTTCATTCGAAGCTGAGAGCATCTGCTTCGGAGGGCTAAAAACCAACAGGCTCCATACAAATAAGCCAGATCTGCAAAACAAATGTGAATGAAAAACTCAAATTTTAGAACAAGATCAGCCCAGAAGTGGACAAACAGTAAGAACTTTCCCCTGAAGTTTACTGCCGGTAAATACGAAGAAGAAGATATCTGATATATCTAAACATGGTGCAGTCACAAACTGAATCAAGATCAATAAATGAGCCTTCTATGCACTGGCTAATAGAATGTAATAAAATTATCAGTTTCTCTGGGATTTTTAACTGGTAGCAAAATTGATATTTTGGTCTTTCAGGTCAATATGGTTAATGTGTTCTTTTACCTGGCAGGTCAGGCTTGTTCTTCTACACATGTTCTTAAATGGTAAAGTATGTTTAGTTATTAAGTAAGTTGCATATCCTTTACCGGACGTTGCAGAACCAACCCTAACAGCCCCTGGCTGTTGTGTAGTTTCTCTAGGCAATTTACGTCCAGTAGTTTGCCATTGCCTTCTGGACGGTTGGCTTTCTTGATACCACTGTCGAAACCAACACAAGGCGCAGTGCCCGCAGCTGGGATTGAACCTGGCATCCCGGCATTATGAAAAGAAGTGTTCGCATCGACTTAGCCACAGAGCCGACATGTTTAGTTATACTTAGAGATAATCTGTTTGTCTTAACTATCTGCACTTTCTTGTTAATGCAGGTCTGCCTTGATGTTTATTTATTTCTCTTCCTAGGCATAGACACATGTAATTTTTTTTTTTTAAACATTGAAATAGCTGAAATGCGTAATCCACATATACTCACTTTTGAACAGCAGGAGTGAATGCTCTTGCTTTAAGAATAAGACCACCGCTGTCAGTGAGAGTTTTGGTGGATGCAGACTGCCAAATATCAGACATGATGACGTCAGCAGAATTCTCAGTCCACACAAAAACTGCCAAGTTTCGTTCACACAGCATGGAACTGTAGTTCAGAAAGTAACAAAACTTGTAAGAAAAAATTTTTTACAGCATTTGTAACAAATATAAATACTGTTCAGTATATTGACCCTGTGTTAAGTCTTTGAGTCCCAGGGGTTTAGCATTGGAGGCCCAAGGGGTGATAATGCAATTTTGAAATGTCACAAGTGTTACAAATTAAAACAGGCCATACTAATTCAGCTGCCGCCCAACACACACATATTATACATCAAAGTGACCAAAGACTGTTGAGGAATAATATTAGAATACTGTTACAAAAATAAATTGTGTTAGTAGTCAATTATTAGTAAATAAACAGATGGTATGTTTAGAGAAATTAGTAAAACGAAATTATAATATTTCCACTTACCACCATGGCAATCAAAGAAAACTCGATAAAATATATCCAAAATGAATCACAAATAATTACTTAGTAATGTATTAAAAAAATATAAACACAATCTGCCCATTAGATCTCGTTCCAGAGAAACTTTTGGAACATTGTAACAAAGCACCTTTTTTGGTAAAGAAAAATGCGCTATCCTCCGAATAACGGGCACATATTATGGAGGCCGCAAAAAAAACCTAATAGAGCCTCAGTCACGTGTCATTTGTGCACTTCCGGAGAGCTAATTTGAGGCTTTCCGGCGACTACCGCCACCACTGAAAGTATCCATTGGGATTGGGGCTAAACTAGATGGCTGGGACTCATGAGCAGCAGCTTCCACATCTCCTGCAGCTTTGCTCGTGAGTCTCAGCCATCTAGTTTAGCCCCCAATCCACGCCACGTGGGGGATACTCTCTGCAGTAGTTGCCGGAAAACCGCAAATTATGTCGCCGGAAGTGCGCAACTGACACGTGACTGGGGCCCTGTTTTTGGCCGCCATAATATGTGCCCGTTATTCGGAGGATAGCGAAAAATGACCTCCTCAAACAATTAGTATTTTCACACACACAAAAACTCAGGTTGCCCATAATTTTATAGCCTGTGTTCCCCAATAATACGGGAATTGCACTAGACCTAACTGACACTGACAAATATTGCTTTTTATTCACTAACATTTATTCTCTTTGTACCAGCTGACCTAGTTATCATTGTAGGCTTTGCATGAGGTATATATCAGAGCTATCCCTTATCAAAGGTCTGACTCTGTCAATGACTGAAACAAGTCTACTTTTTTTTTACAGATCTTTTTTTAGACTAGACAGTCTCAGACAGTTGCATGGAGGATTACCTTTTCTTAGACTGGACAATCTCAGACAATTGCATGGAGGGTTACCTTTTCTTAAACTGGACAGTCTCAGACAGTTGAATGGAGGATTACCTTTTCTTAGACTGGACAGTCTCAGACAGTTGCATGGAGGATTTCTTTTCCTTAGACTGGACAGTCCAAGACAGTTGCATGGAGGATTACCTTTCAGAGAAATAATCCAGAACGCTTAAGGACTATGGCAGGTGAAGTGACATGAATGCAGACACCATGTGGCAAATTACATGAAGACGGTGATGAGGGTGTTACCTGTCATTCATATCAGATGTCAGCTCCATCATGACTTTAGACACTGTCCGTTTTGTCAGCTCAGCAGTTGTATCCAACTGATACTGTACAAGAGCCTTAAAAATGTAAACATTACAATGAATTAGCAGAAGCACAGACTGCAAGAGGCAGTACACTTTATAAAATATCATAAAAGTTCCCATGACATGTAAGAATGTTGCTACAAGAATTTTATCACCTTCCTGATGTGCTGTAGTTCACCATCTGAAATCAAATGTTCCACAGGTTTAAATTCTTCTTTTACTTCTGCATTCACCCTTAAAAGGGTGGTTGGCTTCTTGTGGTTTACAGCTAGGCTGCAATATCTGTGCCTTTCGGCTTAAATTTCAAAAATTCTATCAAATCCTTTTAGTGTGCAAAATCTGTGCCTTTTGGCCAAAACCTAAGATTTCAGCAAATCCTTCTAGGCTGCAATATCTGCTTTTTGGCTAAAATGCATAATTTCATCAATTCCCTAATTATTCACCTATTACAACATACTTATTTAAGGCCAGTGGGTCTATTCTTTTTACCCACAAACCTGGAACCATATAGCTCAAAAATGGGACCCTACGGCCCAACAATACCCAGAATGCCACAATTGTTTTTCTGTCCATTCATAACATTCTTATGCATCTATGGACAGAAGGTTTAAAGATGAAACTCTGACACATGGATGAAATACAAAATATAATTCTTGTGTTTGCTTTCTTATTTACATAGACAGTCAAGTTCTTGTGATAAACTTGATTGTTTTTAGGAGTTCCTTTTTAGTTCCATACAACTTTGAGTAGTGTTGACTCAGTGGGCCAGTATTTCCTTCTTAATGAGCTGTGCAAGTGACATTCTGCCAGGACATGTTCTGTAGTCTGCACATGCAGCCCACAAGGGCACAATGGTGAACTACATAGATGAAGCCTGTGCACATGCTTGTTAAGTTTGTTATAAAGCCTGTGCACATGCTTGTTAAGTTTGTTATAAAGCCTGTGCACATGCTTGTTAAGTTTGTTATAAAGCCTGTGCACATGCTTGTTAAGTTTGTTATAAAGCCTGTGCACATGCTTGTTAAGTTTGTTATAAAGCTTGTGCACATGCTTGTTAAGTTTGTTATAAAGCCTGTGCACATGCTTGTTAAGTTTGTTATAAAGCCTGTGCACATGCTTGTTAAGTTTGTTATAAAGCCTGTGCACATGCTTGTTAAGTTTGTTATAAAGCCTGTGCACATGCTTGTTAAGTTTGTTATAAAGCTTGTTCACATGCTTGTTAAGTTTGTTATAAAGCCTGTGCACATGCTTGTTAAGTTTGTTATAAAGCTTGTGCACTTGCTTGTTAAGTTTGTTATAAAGCTTGTTCACATGCTTGTTAAGTTTGTTATAAAGCTTGTGCACATGCTTGTTAAGTTTGTTATAAAGCCTGTGCACATGCTTGTTAAGTTTGTTATAAAGCTTGTGCACATGCTTGTTAAGTTTGTTATAAAGCTTGTGCACATGCTTGTTAAGTTTGTTATAAAGCTTGTGCACATGCTTGTTAAGTTTGTTATAAAGCTTGTGCACATGCTTGTTAAGTTTGTTATAAAGCTTGTGCACATGCTTGTTAAGTTTGTTATAAAGCTTGTGCACATGCTTGTTAAGTTTGTTATAAAGCTTGTGCACATGCTTGTTAAGTTTGTTATAAAGCCTGTGCACATGCTTGTTAAGTTTGTTATAAAGCTTGTGCACATGCTTGTTAAGTTTGTTATAAAGCTTGTGCACATGCTTGTTAAGTTTGTTATAAAGCTTGTGCACATGCTTGTTAAGTTTGTTATAAAGCTTGTGCACATGCTTGTTAAGTTTGTTATAAAGCTTGTGCACATGCTTGTTAAGTTTGTTATAAAGCTTGTGCACATGCTTGTTAAGTTTTGTTATAAAGCTTGTGCACATGCTTGTTAAGTTTGTTATAAAGCTTGTGCACATGCTTGTTAAGTTTGTTATAAAGCTTGTGCACATGCTTGTTAAGTTTGTTATAAAGCTTGTGCACATGCTTGTTAAGTTTGTTATAAAGCTTGTGCACATGCTTGTTAAGTTTGTTATATCCTGTTCTGAGGCGTAGAATAATGAACTGCCCATGCTGGTCATGTAAATGGTAGTCATCTGTGACCAGATTGTTCACTTCTGAAAGACTGAATGGCCCTTTTCTTTTCAAAGTGTGATACTGCATTCTCTTCCTGTTCACATTATGCCCCTTCCTTAGTGAGTTTATCTGCAGTTTTGTTTCTTGGTATACCACAGTGAGATGGCACCCATTGGAGGTCAGTACGCTTCTGGGCGGCCACACAGCTTTCAAATCTCAGGTGAGGGAGTTTACCCTTCTTGAGGACTTGGAGCCCCAACAGCACATCTCCGACAGCACATCTGAGAAGATAACCACTTGGTGGCAGTCAGAACCGGTGTTGTGTAACATTTTCGCAGCCTGCTCTAGTGCTAGGATCTCTGCTGTATAGTTGGAACTGAATTTACTAATGGGTATATACTTTCTGTGGCGGTGGTTGATAAAAGTCGGCGTCTGTCACTTAAGCGTTACAAACGCGCTTTGTAATGCCAGGGTGCCGGGTTCGATCCCAGCTGCGGGCCTTGCGTTGGTTTCGACAGTGGTATCGAGAAGCCGACTGTCCAGAAAGCAATGGCAAACTACTGTGCGTAAACTTGCCTAGGAAAACCACAACAGCCAAAATCCTTCTGGGGTTGGTTTTGCAACGACCTGTAAAGGATACGCAACGGTTGATAAAAATGCTAGTACCACCAATTTCAAATGCACTGGTTGATGATCCATCAGTGTAAGCATGTATCCACGACTATTCAGGATAGTTTTCCTGGATCATACCAACAGCAGCTAGTCATTTTTGAAGGTCACTGGACTCATCTCAGGCTGTGCGTCCACTGACTCAAGTCATTATCTGTTTGTGTCACTGACTTCCTCACAAGGTACAGGGTATAGGGTAGGTTTCAGCAGTGTTGTTCTCATTGGTAGGTCTACTCTATACTGTATTCTAAGTCTTTTCCCCCAATGGACAAAGCTGCTGCATTTGAGATGCCCCAGTGCCAAATCATCTAATCTTGATTTCAATGGGTGTGACTGCATACTATTAAACTTCTCCATCTGGATCATAGTTTTAGTGTCTCTTCTATAGGACAATGTCTGTGCTAAAGTTATTTTCTGCATCTCCAGGGTTGATGCCCTTTTCATGGATCCTGTGATGAGTCTAAGGGACTGATAAAAATTTTATGAAAGGTAAAATCAACCGCAAACAAACTCTTATTTTTGAACGAAGTATATTCTTAAGTGAAAACTGCTGTCGTGAAGTGGCGACAAACTTGTCTTCTGGCTCAAAGGTGATAGGTTCCAATCTGAACTGAGACTGACTGTTATAATTAGAGCTTCCAGAGAATGCAACGGGAAGTGAAATCAGCAGGTGCGATGGTGATTACATCACCCATTCTTCTTCTTGTTTTTTGTTTTTGTTTGTTCACAGGTTGTAAACTCCAGCGGAAAGTTCTGATTGTTAGTCCACTTCTGGGCTTTAGTCGTGTTCCAGAACTAAAATTGTGCGTGCACATCCATTTTATAAATCTGGCTTATATTTATGCAGACTGCTGGTTCTCCACCTCTCTGGCAGATGCAGTCTGATTTCAAAGGAAACATTCCTAACTAGTCGCCTTTTACAGAATACTTGTTAGGGCAGCAGTGAGTCTATTGGTCCCCCCCCCCACCCCCAAATGGGGGCCGAGAACACACACGGGGACATCACCAATTTTATTTTAAAAAATAGTCTATTCAAAAATGGGTCCAGCACTTTGAGCCCAATCTGCCATTAGAATGGAAAATGGTCCTTTTTTTTTTTTAGATGTAGCGAATTCAGTGCTATATTATTTCACAGTTTGTTTACTGTCGGTGTTAAAGTTAAAAAAAAACAAATGAGAGACATGATAACAATATGCAAAACATCCACACAGGTAGAGAAACATTGTCTACCTTGACTCTGTCAACAAATAAAGGTCTCAGAAAGTCCTCCCAAACCCTCAGAGTTAGAATATTGTCACTGATCTCCTTCCAACATGGGTCACTTTCAACCTAAAAGACGAGATATCATTTCATCGATTTAGGGTTTTATTCATCATCAGTCTACAATTTACACGAGATATATCGTTTCAAACAAATTTTAAGTGAAGAGAATTAGGGTTTCAACAATTTATACTAACCAAGACATCTACTCACCTCCCAATAGTTAGTTTTTCCTATTGAGCCTAGGGCGGCGCACAGGGCACAGGTCATAGCTCTCTATGTCTTGCGGTTCCTTGCCACCTGTTTTAGGTCTTGGATGTTTATTAGGCTCAATAGGGTATGTTAAACAGATACTAGTCTGTTTAATGAAGTGAGGACTAACCAAGTTCTGCACAGTGTTGAGGCCAGCCAAGGACTATAAACTGTGCATGTTCCAAGACTGCATGAAACTGTGGCGTGGTAGAGAATCAGCACCTAATCTTGCCCTCACTCCTTAGAAAACTCACTAGCATGTACATAATGAAATTGTGTTTACCCAGCAGGATGGAAGTCAATTCCGCTTCAACCAGAACTCGATTCTACCGAGTTCCACATTGACAAAAACTACACACCAGCAGTGTATCTGATTACATTGATGTTTACTGCACACAGAAGACACTTACCTGCGTCAGCAAGGACCACACTTCATCTCGGATGTCTGCAAGTCGCTTGACTGAGTTGACATAATGAAGCAGCTTCCCTACTCCAGACTGGACCTCCTGAAGGCATCTAAAAGAAATAGTTTAGTCAATGATACCAAGAGTGAACTCATTTCTTCTCCTGAATTAATCAATTCATCCTCTGAAGCAATAGTTTAGTCAGTGATACCAAGAGTGAACTCATTTCTTCTCCTGAATTAATTCATCCTCTGAAGCAATAGTTTAGACTGTGATACCAAGAGTGAACTTATTTCTTCTCCTGAATTAATTCATCCTCTGAAGCAATAGTTTAGTCAATGATACCAAGAGTGAACTCATTTCTTCTCCTGAATTAATCAATTCATCTTCTGAAGCAATAGTTTAATCAGTGATACCAAGAGTGAACTTATTTCTTCTCCTTAATCAATTCACCCTCTGAAGCAATAGTTTAGTCAGTGATACCAAGAGTGAACTCATTTCTTCTCCTGAATTAATCAATTCATCCTCTGAAGCAATAGTTTAGTCAATGATACCAAGAGTGAACTCATTTCTTCTCCTGAATTAATCAATTCACCCTCTGAAGCAATAGTTTAGTCAGTGATACCAAGAGTGAACTTATTTCTTCTCCTTAATCAATTCATCCTCTGAAGCAATAGTTTAGTCTGTGATACCAAGAGTGAACTTATTTCTTCTCCTTAATCAATTCATCCTCTGAAGCAATAGTTTAGTCTGTGATACCAAGAGTGAACTTATTTCTTCTCCTTAATCAATTCATCCTCTGAAGCAATAGTTTAGTCAGTGATACCAAGAGTGAACTTATTTCTTCTCCTTAATCAATTCATCCTCTGAAGCAATAGTTTAGTCTGTGATACCAAGATTGAACTCATTTCTTCTCCTTAATCAATTCATCCTCTGAAGCAATAGTTTAGTCAGTGATACCAAGATTGAACTCATTTCTTCTCCTGAATTAATCAATTCATCCTCTGAAGCAATAGTTTAGTCTGTGATACCAAGAGTGAACATGCTTCTTCTCTTTATTCAATGTATCAAATGCCACCTCCACACAATGTGTAGCTGGTAATTTACCTCCAACACGGTCTGTTGGTAGACCATTCTGTGTGACAACTATAACAGAACAAAGTAAAGGACCCCTTTTAAACCAGAGGTGCATCAGGCATGAAATGCCAGACTATAATTGTTTTATAGACCAATTAGCACTCGATGGGTGATGTTGATATCCTGCTGGCCACCTTTACTGCCCAGGAATTTACCTGCTGTCTATTTTAGGCAGGTTGACCTGGAAGCCAATGCATTTTTTTTAAAATCAAACTTGGTGTGGACTTAAACTTAAGACATTCAGGACTGCTGGTGAGCGTCTCGTCGCTTTGCTGCTGTGGTTCCCTCTATATGCTAGCATATGTCTCTGTGTAAGTTTAATGTGAGGCATGTAAGAATGTGTGCATAAATGGGTAGATGAATGTCTCTCTCTCTCTCTCTCTCTCTCTCTCTCTCTCTCTCTCTCTCTCTCTCTCTCTCTGTGCTCCTGTGCATAAATGTGCGTGCATTCATATATTTGCTTGCGTAAACAAAACCCAACATTCATATAACAACTTCAACAACACAATATGTTTGTTTCTTTTTCAGCAAACATTCAGCCCAAAAGTCATCACAATTGGGTAAACACTCAGGCACAATAATTGGTTTAATAATGTTAGTGGAGACAAATATATTTGCTCCTTTCTGTTTTGCTACTCCCTATCCTCTACTTGAGTCTGCTGACAGAATATGACATCATTAAAATGTCATTTAACTATGGAATAAAGAGAAGAAAGAATAAATAATTTGTAAAATATAGAAATATTATGCAATAACACAGTTTTTAAAAAATCAGAATTCTTGCTAGTTATAAAGAACTAATTAAAACATATCCTTTAGTATTCTCTATCGTAGAAAGAACCCCATAAAGTTCTGTATAAAAATCACTATGTTTTCATTAAATATTGCCACGAAAACACTAACCACTTGCTGTGTTGAAGAAATTAAAATTGAATGAAAGATACCCCTGTGGTTGTCAGATTTATTTAGTATAACTGACCAAAATTAAATATAAGAAAATTGATGTGATGTTTGAAACATGAAGTGAATAGTCAGCAACACATCATTCATTGTTTGAGGCTGAAAGAGTTAAGCCATGTAGAAAACCAAAATGTGATTTGTTAACAGTTACCTAACTGCAGACAACAACAAAATAATAATCTCACGTATTCATCCACTGTTGACAGTTATCCTTCAGCTGTTTGGATTGAAGTGGTGTGGCTGGAGTTCTCAGCATTGGTTTGAAATCTACACACACAAATTACACAATTATTACATTAATTTACTAAGTACCATGTGCCACTAACAGTGGCCAGATATTTATTCACAGTGGCAATCTACTATTTAGAGAAGTAAATTCATGCAGCTTTTACAATAATTTCAAATTGGGGCAAACCATGCAAATTTAAACCAAGTTTTGTAAACGGCAACAAGACATAACTTTTTTGACCAAATTAATTGTTGCTGAACTATTGCTACTATAATTATATTTCATTTTACAAGCCTGTATATGAATATTTGCAGTGGTAACCAACTTTCAATTCACACAAAAAGACACACACACACACATCTCTAGCAATCATTGAAGGAGATAGGGTATGATCTACAAATGCAAGGCAATGTTACTGATAACAATGATGGCAAAATAAACATGGGCAGTGTGCATAAATAAAAGTGACTTGTTTAAAATTATAGCAATTATATTGCATAAAGATGTGATGCAATATATGTAGTTATGTCATGAAATGTAAAGCTAACAGAACACCGGGAGACATGACTTACTTTTCACAGACTGGGGTAGACATTTTGAGAATATAGTCCCTTGCAAATCCAACATCAGTTTTTCTGTAGCAAAATCAAATAAGCTCTTAAATGCTGCAAAACATCTTTCAGTTCTACTAATCTGTATATATACTAAAATGTTAATAGTAAGAATTCATTAAAACATCAAGTTTTAACGTACAGCTGTGAGTCATAGGCAGGCCAAACAATTCCTTGAGGTCTCAGAGATGTGGTTTTATAGAAGAATGCTTAAAATACCTTGGACAGCCAAAAAGAGCAACCAAGAGGTTTTGAAAGAGGCGGGAGCCCAAAAAAAAAAAACTAATCACAGACATCAGAAGGAGATAGTCATCATTTTTCGGCCATGTTATGAGAAGAGGAAAAATGGAAAATGTGACCACTGGAAAGATCTGTGGAAGGAAGGACAGAGGAAGACAACGAGAGAAGATTCCTTACAGTCTTGTTGCATGATATGAAGGTGCTTCAGCACACGAACTAATACATGCTGCAGGAGATTGCAGATTGTGGAGAGGCATGATTGCGCACGCCAGTCGGCAAGGCACCTGATGATGAGGATGATGTCATTATCTAAATATTGTTCTTCTTCTGCTTCCTCTGCATTCTGCAATCCCCAGTCCAAGTCGTTCTATCCTTCGCTATCGTATACAGCTCTCCCCATCTTTTTAACTTCACTCTTTAGCTCCATTCTCCATGTGTTGTTGTTTTTTGGTCTTCCTTTATTTCTATGTCCTTGTGGGTTCCAGTGCAAAGACATTCTAGTTATAAGTAAATGTTGAGCATAAATTCTACCCTACAACAGTAATCCCTTAGAATTAATTTAAAAAATGAAACAAGTATTAATAAAATACTGCAAAATATATTTATAATCAAAAGTCATGGACAAGGTTACTTCTTTTGAAGTGTGTGTCACAGCTTGGTTTTACATCTCCTTTACTCAGAAGGTAAGTGTGTCTGACTTTAGCATGCATTTGTCTTAAGGTTTACATCCATCTAGAGTTGTTCTCTTTCTTTACATAAAGCAGCAATATTCTATAATATAAACATATGTGCCACGGAGACACAAAAATAATAGTAATAGCCAGGATTTCTCAAGTGCTGCAGTTCAAATTGCAAGAACAAAACATAGAACAATACAGTTAATGTAGTCACGACTGTTCAGGTCAAACAGTGGAAAGATGCCAAATATGAGGTGGATATTATCAGGATTAAAACTGTGACAGCAATTTCAGTCATTCAGGTAAACATACCATCACGATATAAAATAATATGCAACTTGAATCAATAATAAAGAATCTGCTACGTGTACATATGGGAGCCATATCAATACTATGCTGGAAAATCAACGACGAAACACCTACAGAAGCAGTTAAGATGTGGTATTATTGAGAAAACAAAAACATGAATGAGACAGCCTGAGAAATTAATAAATGAACAAATTCAAGTAAATATTACAGAACAAAGAATACATCTCAAAGAATTCTAAACCAAAAGACTGTCATAGATTGGTCACATGCAGGCTGGCCCTGTCAAGGAAATGACAACTAAATATTTGACCAAATATAGCAGGCTAATGTTTAGTTGAAAAATTTCATATAACTTGTGAATGCTGTTATCTTCTTCTTCTTTACGTTCGGCAGCTGTAAACTCTGATGGAAAGTTCTGGTTTTTCATCCACTTCTGGATTGCAGTCCTGTTCCAGAACCTGTGCATCCATTTTGCAGATCTTAACTCATTTGTATGCAGACTCCTGGTTCCTTCCTCTCAGGCAGATGAACTCCGACTTGAAGGAAGCTCCCAATTAGTCAACTCTTACGACACGCTTTTGGGTAGGCAGTGGTTCTATTCTTTTTTCCCCTATAATAAGGCCCAAGAACCCACAGGGGGAAAATGCTGTTATAAATATTTAGATTGCCTTTGGAAGACAAAAAGCTCCCAGCTCCCATCCTAAGAAATTTTTAAAAAAAATAGATGTAGACTGCAAAATACTAGTAAAACATAGACCACAGAGATCTACCAGAAAAGACATGTATGGATTTAAACAGAACCTCTAAGATAGATAACAAATAAAATGGAATGATCAAGAAGCTATACGACCAGCTAAAGGGAAGAAATACTTGATAATGATGATGGCAGAGTAAGATAAATTTAAAATATACATGTGTAATTAGAAACACATATATATTTTCAATGAATTAGCCATCAATGATTCACCTTGACCCTGTTTCGACACTACATCATTCAGTATTGTCATAAGCAGTCCTGTGTCCTTGTGTGACTTGTTAGATTGCTGAGGATCATGGGAGTAAAACACTGTGTAGATCTGTCTTAAAGTCGATGTGAGAAGACGAGCAACCCCTATAATCTGAGATTTGACATTGCTCTGGTGACCTGAGTGCAGTATCTCTTGAAGAGTTTTCTGAAATGATCAAAATCATAAAAACTAAATTAATTTTGTCTGACATCAAAAGAATGGAAACAGTAAAACAGAAAGGAAAAACTGTCTTTACTGCCAGCTCGTCTCTTTTTTAGGGCGGTGTACATTAGGATTGGGAAGGGTAGAGGGGAGGGTTAGGTGTCTGTCTTGAGCCTGAAGATTCTGGGCTGCATGGCTAGTTCAGACACTGTGAACTGTGCAAGTCAGGATGTTATTCCTCCATCCCTTCCATCTTACCCACCCCCAAAAAAAGAATTTCCATCACCTCAGTGAAGGTTAAAACTCAGGTCTTCTAAATGACAGCTCTGTGTTCTAACTACCTGAAAAACTACTAATAAATGCAAAATTAAAGATATACTTCATCAGATAATTATTTTCATTCAAGAGATCACATAACATCATTCTTGACCCATTAAGGTCGTGGAGGTGTATGGATTTAAGCACCAGAACAGAAGCACTAGAACACAAAACCTGAAATCTTTCTCTGTCTTCCACTTGTTGAACAAAATGTATAATAATTTAGTCCTGTCCATTTCTTGATGTTATTTCAGATTCGTTTGTGAAACCCCCCCCCCCCCCCCCCCCCCCCCCTTTCAACTATAGTCCCATGTTCCTTGAAGTACAGTCTTTGCAATCAAAAAATCATGTCTCATTGCGTGTCTGAACAAAGCTAGCTTGCAAAATGTCCCCACTGCTAGAAGAGGCTCCTGATGCCCTGTAAATTTGTTACATTTTGTCTCTTACGTGTTTGTTTGTTTTATGTTGTAATTAGCTTATTTGTAGAATTCGTCTAGGGCATTTATGTTTGAAATCCTGAATCATCCTTTCCATTTCCGCACTGAGAGTCCAACTCTCACATCCGTATGAGAAGACAGACAATAATGGGGATTGTAAATATTGATCTTTACTGCTATACTGATTTAGCTCTTCCACATCATATTCAGCAGGGACATTTCAGCTGTTGTCTTACAAAGTCTTGTCCTGATCTCTTCCATACAACTGCCATTGGTACATATGTGGCAGCCGAGGTATTTAAAGGTTTCAACTTCTATTCTCCCATTCCCCCTTTATCTGCAGGTTTGTAGGTAGCTGATTGTTGTGGAGACATCATAGCCTAGTTTGAATCAAAGACCTCAGCGAAGCCTTGGGCTGCATCAACCTAAATTAATGTTCCTTCTGAGTTTATTGTCCTTTCCATTTGTTTTACACTATCACTCCTTCCAATTTACTGAAAGGCAGTTCTATTCAAATACTTAGACACATCTGCTATCATACCAGATTTATTTTTAAAATATCCCCGCTGCATGCAGAAAAAATCATCAAGCACTCACTTACAGGGAAGCTCCCATGGTGTAGCAGCTAGATGCTTGCCTGTGGTTATTAAGTTCACTAGTTCAAATTCGCAGTGAAACAGACTTTTTTTTTTTCAAAGCATGATCTAGGCTCCCAGGCCGACTCAGCCTTAAAATGGTACCAGGTAAAGTCCTGGGAAATAACTGACCACATCACCCACAAAGTGCTGATTGGTCTAAAAATATAGTTCTAGCACTATACTCCAAATATGCCTAAGGGAGTGGGAAATGGTCCTTTTACTCAACTGCTCATTATGGCACTAAAACATCATCGTGATCTATGCATACTATCCAGCACCGCACAGCATGGATGGGTGTCATTTTATGATGTTTTGCCACAGAGCACAAAACATCACTCAATGTGAACAGTGTAAAAACAATTCTCAGACACCCCAGCACAAACTCCCCAAACATAATAAATATTACACTTACCGTGCGTGCAAGTAGAAACTCTGTGAAAACTTGTCTGGGTGTGTTGTCCTCTAACAGAACAATTGAGCACAGAACCTGAGCCATGTGCTAAAAAAAAAAAAAACAGTACTGATATCAAACGTCAAAACTGTTTATATATTTAAGTGACATTTAAAACTAGGAAGCCAAGAATGAGATGAATATGTTCTGTCAAAGATAGACTAAATAAAGACAATCTCAACTGTCCAGTGGATCAAGATTGGAAATCGCAGCTTTCCTCTTCCCACTGTTTAACAGCAAATGTGAACAACAATCCATCACTCAACTGGAGATAATGTACTTATTCTTCTTCTTCTTCTGCTTTCCTCTTCTTCTTCTTCTTCACATCTCACCGGCTGTAAACTCCGACCAAAAGTTATGGGTGTTGATCCACCTCTGAAGTTTAGTCTTGTTCTAGAACTGGTTAGTTGCATATCCTTTACAGGACGTTGCAAACCCAACCCCAACAACCCCTGGCTGTTGTGTGGTTTTTCTAGGCAATTTACGTCCAGTAGTTTGCCATTGCTTTCTGGACGGTCGGCTTTCTTGATACCACTGTCGAAACCAACGCAAGGCACATGGCCCGCAGTTGGGATTGAACCCGGCATCCCGGCATTACGAAGCGTTCGCATCGTCTTAGCCACAGAGCCGACTGTTCTAGAACTATCTGGCCCATATTAAAAGACATAACATGCTTATCTCTTTTTTGGTGTTTGTCGACTTTAAACTCTGCAGACTTCTGGACTCATCTTGTTCCAAAACTTAAGTTTTGCATGTGCACCCATTTTACCAACCTGGCTCATTTGTATCAGACCATTGGTTCCTTGCCTCTCAGAAAGATGCACTCCAACTTCAAAGAAAAGATCTAATTAGTCGACTCTTTCGACATGCCTGTTAGGGTGGCAGTGGGGCCCGGAACCCTCACGCTGGGAGCTGACTTACATGATCACCAGTCTTGGATCAGGTTCAGGTCGGTGTTCTTGCCCCCTATTATATCTAATCAAGTCATCTCCGTCTTCTTTTTGCTTCATAAAATACAACTGTTGTGTAAAAGATATAAGATATGTGGCTAAAAAGGCAGTGTAAGACAGGTCTGCGTGCCTAATTTGTGATACTTGGAAAAAAAAGTTTGATTGTTCATACCTTTCTCATCAAGCATGCTAGCTGTCGAAAAAAATCTTGACTGTTCATATCAAATTTCTTTCAATCATTAAAATCAATGAAGCTACAATTAACAATGCCTTTCATTTATCAGTATAAAGAAAATGTATTTTAAACTTACAAAACAAGACAGCCGATCAGACGTTTACTTTTGTGTTTTTAATTTCCGCTCCTCTTCGCTGTGTCATGTAGGAAACCCATGCATATTTAATTTCAAAAATATTTGGCAACACCAACCAGACGAAAGCAAGTTTGGTTACACAAGAAACAATATACTACACAGCTACAGAAGCTTACCTCGTCATTTAGATCTGTATCTGTGTCTGTCAGCAATAAACGACAGCCCTATTTAGAAATAATACAATTCAAATGAGTATGAAAGAAAAAAGTGATGCCATAAATTATAATGGCTAAATGGATAATTCTAGTTTTTTTTATTTTTTTAAAAAGACAAATCAAAAAAAAAAGAAAAAAACAGTAAACTTTGTTTCTTAACTGATATGGCCCCAAATCCCCTACCCATACTTAACAAGAAAATCTTGTGCCGAGAATGGCCTTATCAGACAACTACTTCCTCATCTATTTCTTCTTAGCATTCAGCAGCAGTAAACTCTGGTGGAAAGTTCTGGTTGTTAGTCCACTTTTGGACTTTCAGAAATTCAGTTTTGTGTATACATCCATTTTACAGATTTGGCCCTTGTATATGCAAGCACGTCTCTCGGGCAGATGAACTCTGGCTTCCAATGACACATACTAATTAGCTGCCTTTCACGACATGTTTCTTAGGGGGCAAGGGGTCTATTTTTGGTCTCCCAAAAACAGAGCCTGGAACCCACACGGGAAACACTCACAAACCCAGCTAATGAAAGGAATGACCATCACTTATGATGGATAAACAACACTACTTCCAAGTTCATCACCCGTAAACTAACCTGTAAAACTGTAGACTTGAAGTGACTAATGGCTGCCCACTGTCTTGTCAACACAGGGAACCAAGTCATGACGTCTGCTGACTGCCTGGAGTCCAAATGGAGACTGGAGTTAATGTGTCTGGCCAACAGGTACAGCTGTGTTGCCTTCAAATACTCCTGGCTATCAACGTTGCTCCAAATCTATACGATAAACAGAAACAAACAATTGTTGTTGTTTTTTAACCCATGCAAGTCAATAAAAAAAATTGCTGTTCATGCTTTTTTTTAAATGATTATGTTTAAAACCAATAATGCATTTGTATCGGATAGAAGAGTGTTTAATGTCTGACTGTCTACTGCTTCTTCTTCTTTCTTAAGGTAAAGTAAAGATCCCTTATTACGCCTAAGGCGCATCGGGCATATGGGTAGAGCGTGCCATATTTTTACAGACCAATCGGCACTCGGTGGGTAATGTGGTCAGCATTACGCTGGCCGTCTTAATTTCCCCAGGACAGCCATCCTGGTACCCATTTGAGGCTGGGTCGACCTGCGACGTCCCATCAGGAGCAGCATCAGCACCAACGCATTCCAGCGCAGACAGCCCAGTCGCAAACAGGTCTCTCTCGCTCGCTCGCTCGCTCTACCGCCCGATACAGCCACGTGTGTCTATCGTTAGCTTGCTAACTATCCATTCGTAGCCAGATTATCAATAGCTAGATACTGGTCAGAACTCGCTTGACATTCGGCTGAGTTTTGGCTCGACTACGCTATTGTTATTCGTCTGCGGGTGGGTTATTAGCGGCCCGGGAGCACAGCATTGTTGAAGAGCCAGCCATACCCGCCAGTTTTTTTAACGATTGCTAGAGAAATAAGGAGAAAGCACGCTTGGGTGTACTTTTTAGGATACTCTAACAAGCCTTGCCGACTCCGAAGGGACCTAGCTTTCGCCACAGACCGCAATTGCCATCGTTGATTTTCCTGTCATGGGAAAACAGCAAGCAGCCGCACCTACACCAAGGAAGAGGATGGCCATACCAGCAGCATCACCTGCAGGCGCCCCTATCGCGGCGCCTCGCACACCTACGCCAACAACTGAAGCCGCCCCCATCGTGGCGCCAGCACAAGAAGCCGCCCCAGTCGTGGCGCAGGAACCTACCGGCACCCGCCTACAAAGACAGCAGCCAGGAGCCCACAGCAGTGACAACATCATCATCCAGTGCTCACGTTGTAACAAGGCGTGGCACACAGCCGCAAACTGCCGCAACAGCCCAGCATGCCGCTACTGCTCTAAGCCGCACGACTTCAAGGAGCCTAACAGTAGCAGAAGGTGTTCAAACTGTGGAGGGCCACACAGCGCCAGATACATGGGCTGCACCTACCTAAAAAAGTGCAAGCAGCAAGCAGCAATCCCAAGTAGTGAGAGAAGACCAGACAAAGTGATTCCAGTCGCTAACAACAACGCGACAACCCAGGAAGTGAGAGCACTCAAAATCGCAGTCCAGAAGCTGACAGCAGACAAAGAGAAGGCCACCGCGGAAAGACTCGAGATGCTGGGACTAATCTCCCAAACACTAGACGAAGTCAGAGCCCAGAAGCGAGACAGAATAGCAGAAGCTGCGCACCACACCAAGCTGCTAGCAGAAGTAACTGAAGCAAACAAAAAACTCCAAGGCCTCCTGACACAGCTGAAGACAGAACAGGACCAGGCAGCAACCTACCGACTAGCCGAAAGAGAAGAAAGAAAAGCAGAGACGGCCTTACTTAACGAAGCCAGAGAGTCCGCGTACAGAGAAGTCGCCCTGCTAGTTTTTTTTTTTTCATCTAACACCGGCTGTGAATTCCAGTGGAAGGTCCCGGTTAATCGTCCGCTTGGACTTTTGGCCTTCACCTGGACCTGATTTTTGCGTGTACAACCGTTTTTTATTTCCCTGCCTCTTGGGCAGCTGTACGCCGACTTCTAGGGTGACTGTGGCCATTGTTTTGTGTGGGTCGAGACTGCCTGATTTGTGTGGTGTCCGCCTTGTCTCCTTCGCCGCAGGTATTGCCCCCGGAGTACCCATTTGGGGCAACCCCCTGTGGAACAGTTGGCCCTCAAGGGAAGGCAGGGGCAGATCATGGGCATTCCCCGCCATCCAAGGAGGCTTCCATGCATGCAGAGCCGGCACATGGCGCTCTGGTACTGGGCTCACCCAAGGAATCGTCACGTCCTGCACATGCCTGCTTAACCTCACAACCGTATCAGGCCTCCCGCTCGACAGGGGCCGCGCCCTCTGGAAGTCAGCGGGGAGCAGCCCGTTGGTTTTGGACTTTTGTGACCACACAGATAGGTACATTTGCCCAGCAGAATTTCACATCCTGAATCAGGCATATCGTTATCAGTTTTGTCCCAACACTCGGGCGAGTTGGGTCTTTGGGTGTGAACATTCGGCCTTTTGCATTTCAGTGCAAATTTTGATGGTCAGATTTTGATCCATCTGATCTAGTTTTGTCGGACATTTAGGCTTAGCCATCCGATGGATGGTTGCTGTTGTGGTGTACCACAGCGCGGTGACGACGACACTGAGGGTTAACCGAGGATGTGCGTGACTGGCCAGCCTATGGATGGTTGCTGTTGTGGTGCACATCAGCGCGGTGACGACGACACTGAGGGCCAACCGAGGATGCACAAGGATGGCCAGCCCATGTATAGTTTCTGTTGTGGTGCACCTCAGCGCGGTGACGACGACACTGAGAATTAACCGAGGATGAGCATTGAGCAATATTCTCTTTACTCAGCAGTCTTTTAACCAAGGGTTGTGATTTTAGCTGTACTTTTGTCGAACCTACTCATGTTCCTAATGAGTTTTGATAACATTTTTCACCCAAGCGTTTGGAGGCGGGCTGATGAGAGCCACAAGGACTCATCACCTCTGGGGGCCGCCAAACTCCGAGATCCCCTGACAGCTCTGTTAATGCTCATTTGAGACATTATCCGTGGCGCACGACGAGGACGTGCTGTAGGGGTCTTGCGTGAGGTTCCGTACAACCAGGATAGTAAAGGACTGGCGCCCGAGTGACGTACGGAGTATCTCCTTATACACATCATGTTGGACTTAACTTCCCCTCACGCCTGTGACATAAATCACCGCGCCACGCCCTGCTAGTAAAAACAACAGCAGAAGCAGAAGCAGCTACACGAGAGGCAAAACAAGAACGAGAACTCTTACTAGCAGAAAGAAGCAAGGCACCAGCCGCAAAACCAAACATCAGCAGGGCCGACAAAAGTACAGAAACAGAAACCGATGAGGGAGGCAGTGTCCAGCCAGTTGAAGAAGCCGTGTCCGAAGCTACAGAGGTGACCCCAACCACAGATGAGGCCACTATTCCTGAAGGAGACAAAGAGGCAATAGCCATAAAGGTGGAAAGCGAGGCTGACCTTCTAAAAATGATAGAAAGCTTTAACAAACTGAACCACCCACACAGGATCGAGCTCGATAGTAGAAAACGCTACGATATCGTGTATGACGAGCCAGAGCTGGAGAAAGTTTACTTGCTGCCCGCTGTGGAAAGGCAAGCCTTCTTTGATAAAATCAACGGACTCCAGGACCAGATAGAAGCAGCCCGAAAACAGCTGGCCCATGCACGATGGAAACAAAGGAGTCATGGTACACCAAACGACGCAACCGCAAGCACTGACAAGCCACCAAAACAAGATGAAGCCAGCAGCCAATCGAAAACCTCCAAGCCGCCATGACACCCAGTCTCTGTGGAACTAGCCAACCTCACTGACGCGACGCAGCCCAGTAAACCAGATTGACCACTCCCGCCCATCCCGTTCCAGGCCACCCGGCACATGTGGCTGTCCTTCTCAGGACAGCCATATCCACTCCCTAAACCTACAAGCCGCACGCCAAGCCCACGCTGCTAACAAGACGCAACAAATGAAAGAAAACTCAGGCGAAAATGTTCGCCGCAAGGAATAAATACAAATCACACCACCATTGAACCGACTTCGATATAGCAAGCCGTCAGGCAGCTGAAAGAGGTCAAAATTTTGGAATTTTTGTTTCTTACGAATTGAATTGAATTGATTGAATTGCGACGTCCCATACCACGATAAAAATCCACGCAGCCCGCAGTGGGTTTCGATCGCGGTACGTTGGATTACGAGTCGGACTCTCAACGCCTTAGCCCTGGATGCCGCCTTCTTCTTTCTTTGCCAAATTATTATTATTAATGCAACTGCATGCATTGTGTCTAGTTACAGCAAAAGTTACAACATGTGCACTCTCACAAACATGTCCAACTCCTTTAAGCATTTGTTGAATGAGTTAACCTTCCTAAATGTCTTTTGTATTAGTCATGGCCGACTGACTTATTCAGAATTAAACTCATGGCTTGTAAGTTTAAATCAACATCATCATCACTCAATGCTGAGTTACTAACAAAGGTACTTGATTTTGAAACAATTGAAATGTTCAAATCTGATCTATCTTAGTAGTGAGAGTGCTTACTGAATGTCCAAATGCCAAATGAATGCAGGTTTTACATTTAGTGCCAGCAGAATCATCTGAAAGTCTTCAAATAAGGATTCCGGTATTTTACGCTTTTCAGGTCGGCGGGTCATCATCAAAGTGCAAAGCATTTTTGTAAGCACATTACTGACAGTACTGATCTTCACACATTACTGCTCAAATAATTTAATTTTTTTTAACATCAATTAAGAATGTGATAGTTTTCTCACTTTTTGTAAACATATCAGTACTCAAATAAATGACCCCAGCCCAGTTTTTCTCCCATGCAATTTTAGAGAGGCTTGCTTGCTTAAGTTCAGATGGAAATAAATACTTCTGTGTCTACTGAAGAGAGACGGGATGCTCAATACAGGATGAAAAACATGATTTCTGTGCAACAACAGTAACTGACCAACTCTCCCCACTGCTAAAACACCCAAGCATCACTATGGCACTAAAACGACAACTGATAAATTGCATGTTTATACCAACCCTCTGCTACCAATGCCAAACCTGGTCCCTAACAAGAGCACAGGAGAAAAAGATCACGGCGTGCGAAATGAGATGCTTACGTAAGGCTGCCAATGTCACAAGGAGAGACAGAGTTCGAAACGAGAACATTAGAGCAATTGTAGGAACCACACTATGCCTGCAATACATAAGGAAGCAACAAATAGAGTGGTTTGGCCACTTGATGCGAATGCAAACCGACCAACTGCCTCTACGAGCATACAACGAACAGCACTACTGCCCTAGAGCAAGAGGCAGACTGAGAGTACGATGGATAGACAATATATCAGAGATCCCGAGGCAACACGGACTAACAACAACACGTGCAACACACCTGGCCCAGGATAGAAAACTGCGACTCCCCACTACGCTGTGAGGCAATTGTGGACAAGACAAGACAAGACAGAATTACCTTTTCTGGTATGTCCATTAGCAGTTTTATCTGTGCTGCTATGCCATAGAACTCTATTTCCTTGCTATTCCTACAGATAGAAACAATATTAATAAAAATGAAGCAAAAAACATGAAGCAAAAAGCTAAACACCTCTACTTGCTAACTTTTCCTTAAATCGAGAGAGAACTTAATCATCATCATCATCAAACTCCCTATTTTGCCATTAGATGTCACGGGAAGAAAGTTTTCAGTGCAAATGAGTGGCAGCGTTTGGGCACCATCGTGCTCCTGAATCAGATTTGTTAAAGTAAAGTGCCAATACTGGTAGTTGTTATGGTTGCATTTGAATGCCCATGTATGCAGAATGAGAGAAAATTGGCCACCATGGCAGGCTAAGAACCAGACCTCCAGGGTGACGCTGGGAAGACAACATTTGACAGTCCTTAACTGACATAGGACTGGAACTGAACAAAGCCAGAAAGAAAACTGCTGACAGAGACATGCAGCGATCTCTCTGGCAAACGTCTACACCCCAAGGTAGAAGAGGATCGACTAAGTAAGTAAGCATTCTAATGCCAAGATAAAACCATTTGATCTTCAGCTTCTCAATTAGTTTGGTGCAAGGTGTTGATCCCATAATTTGTCCAATGATATCATTTCGCACTGAATCCTGAATAGCTGAGTTGGCAGCTTTGCTTAGGCACCTCATCTCACAGTACCTATCATAATGTCCAAGTGTGATACTGATACCAAGATGTTGGTATGATTATTCCTTGAGTTATCAGTTAAGTTATCTTAACAGCATTCTGGACACGTCCACAGTTGCTCAGATTCCCCCTTTAACATATACATCAGCGCCCTGCAGTTAATAGTGCCAGTCCTATGCTGGTTAACAAGTCTTCTAAATGTAAATCGAAATACTGCAACTTTAAATGCACCCTTAAAATGACTTACTTGTCACCGTTGTGCTTAACATTCATATGAAAAGATGCCCCTCGTACCATGTGCTTCTGGCGTAAGGAAGAGCACAGATCTTCCATCCGAGATATGGATTTCATCACCTGCAGAATAAACTAGAATTATGTCACCTAGCTGACTGTCCCTATCAGAAAGAGACAATCTATATTCTTTGGTCATGTGATGAGAAGGGAAAACTTGGGAAAGTTGGAAGAGAGAACAGGCAGATGGAACTGAGAGAAAATATGCTTGACAGTCTGACATCCTGGCATGGATGATCATCTGTATCAGAGTTGACTGAAAATACATGAGACAGAAGGCTGTGGATAGACATGACTACCAACGCCACACAGCACATACTTTAAGAAGAAACTGTAATCCAATACCGCTGGTGGGGGATGCTGTGGTATAATGTGAAATTTATTCAATGTATAGATGTTCTGGTTGTTTATGCTCTAAATAGGCTTTAGTAAGTTTAGGGTTGTGACTTTTCTCCTAACCCAATACCTTTCTCCTCTTCTTGGCATTCACTGGCTGTAAACTCCTGTAGAGGGTTCTGATTGTTTGTCCACTTCTGGACTTAAGTCTTGTTCCCCATGACTTGCATTTTGCATGCTCATCTGATTTACAAATCTGGCTTACTTGTATGCAGACTGTCGGTTCCTTGCCTCTCAGGCAGAGGCGCTCCAATTTTTGAGGAAAAGTCCCTAATAAGTAAAATTTATGATATGCTTGTCAGGGATGAAGTGGGTACAGTGATGAAGTGGGTACATGGATGAAGTGGGTACATTCTTTTTTCCCCTCAAAATGGGGATCTGGAACCTATATGGAGAATAAATGTGTTAACTATGATCATATCACATGACCACTGTCTGTGTTTTTCAGACATGTTATAAGAAAGAATGGACTCAAAAGCTCGATAACAACTGTCAAGATTGGTGGAAAGAGAACAAGGGGACAGCACAGAGACAAATAACCAGATGGCTTGGTCATATAGATACAGCAGAGCGAGAATATTGACCTGATCTCTGATTCTGGTGATCATGTGAGATGGCAATAGGACAACCTTACCTTGCCAGTATGGCACATAATGATTCATACCAAATAATTTTATAATAATAACAAAGAAAGTTATACCAGAGTAATAAAACTGCATGGAATTCATGGTACACCAGTGGGTAGCATGCTTGCCTGTTGGCCCAGTGATAATATGTTTGAATCTTCTTTTAGGCTGATCCAGCTTAAATATGAGCACTAGGAAATGTTTTTCAAAGTATAGGGGTGGGGGGAGGCATAACATTGCCACCATCACCCACAAAAATATGAAATATTTTTGAATAAAAAATATGAAGCTAGCATCATATACCCAAAAAACATCATGGCACAGGAGATAGAAGCCTTTGCATGGATGTCTTTGCTCTATTGAACCCTGTCCTCCCGAGAAGCCACAAAACTAACACTTCTGATTCCCTGTGTGTGTTCCAGGGCCCCACTGTGGGGGAAACAAGAACAGACCCACTTCCTGCCCAAAAGCACGCTTTAAGAGTTGACTAATTGGGAGCTTCCTTTGAAGCTGGATTAGCTCTGCCTGAGAGGCAAGGAACCAACAGTCTGCATGCAAATGAGTCAGACCTGAGAAACAGATTTGCGCGCAACATTCAGTTTCAGAAACGGGACTACAGTCCAGAAGCGGACGAACAACCAGAAATTTCCGCTGGAGTTTACAGCCAGTGAATGCCAAGAAGAAGAACAAGAAGATGAAGAAGAAAAAGAAGAAGAAGAAGAAGAAGAAGAAGAAGAAGAAGAAGAAGAAGGAGAAGAAGGAGAAGAACACGGCTAGTTTAGTCCAATTTCCTGAGAAAACCACTTAACCAACATTTCTACAGCATTTACAGGACACACAGTTAATGCTACTGGCTTGTTCATGCCAGTGCAAACATTTAGGGGATCAGGATATGCATATGGTAACTAAAAATAGCATTCAAATAGACTTTATTCAGAACCAAATAGTGTATTGAAAAGTTTACGTCATCTTTTCCCATAAGCTTCAGTGACAAAGATCAAGAAGTCACGACATGAGTAACCTAATACATACATTTCGAGACCCCAGGGAACATAACGCTTCACTCTGTTCCTGTTTATTGATTACTCTCTATATAGATTTTGTTTATATATATTTCCCAAGCAAATGTAAATATGTAAATAAATCTCTTTTTTTTTTAAATTTATTAGTGACCTATGTGAAATTGTTTTTAAATTTTTTTTTTCTAGGAATTCCACTGGGGTCATGACCCATTTTCTTTAGCATTTATTGGGTGACAAAGTTAACGCAAAGTACGATGAGATTCCTCTCGTACACTTCAAAAAGATGTCCAGTTGATAACAATGAACCCAAACACTTATCTGTATGAAACATTAGTTAACATTAAACTGATGAAAAACAAGATAGAAGAAAAAAACATCACCAGCAAACGTTACAGAGGAGGAGTCATGCACAAAGGATATCCATACATATATATATATATATATATATATATATATATATATATATATATATATATATATATATATATATATATATATAATACATATTTATATATACACATACATATATATATATATATATGTGTGTGTGTATATAAAATAAACAAACATAGAATGTATTGATTGGCACTCATAACCCATTCTTTCTATGAGCGTTAATTAATACATTGCATGTTTATATATACATATATATATATATATATATATATATATATATATATATATATATATATATATATATATATATATATACATACATAATATTTCTATGGCCTCAAGGGTTCCATCTCTGTTTATTTATGTGAAGAAAGGATAACCACTATGCTCATGTGTGAAGTGGCAGAAGAAACTTACATTTTCTGCACTCGTTTTCATGTCTGTTATTGTATCAGCAGCATCAATTAGATCTCGATACCTTTCACTACATTCCAAATGAAAAAGAAAGAAAAAAACTGTGTTTACGGAATAAAAACTTAACAAATCAAAAACTACAACAGGAAACCCTGCAAAAAAATCAACGATTTTAATAAATGCACACTGCATCAAGACTAATCAATGCAAACAAAAAATAAAATATATCCAATGTTGTCAAAATAAATACTCATACACCTGAAACTAATACATATATTTATATATTAGTTTCATGTGCATGAATATTTATTATATATGTATAGATATTTGTATTGCTCTTAAAGTTGAGAGGATCGACTTCACTGTATTAATTTTATACTAAATGGGGAAAATAAGAAACAGAACCTTATATCTGCCTTGACACAAAAAGCAGTAGAAGAGAAAAGAAAAAGAAGAAGAATATTTATGCAGCAGACATTATATTTGTATTTCTCTACTCACTCAGGCATAATATCAAGCGAAATAAAAGTGACATAAGTAAACACATTGGTGAGGACAACAACTGGCGAACTATCTTGTCAAAACCCATCGACGAGTTACTCCTGTGTGTCTAGCTGTAAATCTTGAAAAAATCGCGCTTATATGCCATGTAAGGACTGCAGGAGGCCAGAAGAGATAAATAACAGAAGAAAAAGGGCAGATTTAATTATTTGGTTTGCCGACTTAGATGGAATCAAATTGTGTGTGTTTTGCTGACTGAGGACACTTTGTATGGCTACGCATTCACTTGAAGTATCCAGCAAATCTGACTCAGTTTGTAACTGGAATCACTGGCATAGGTGGTTGAACAATTATGGGCCAAGCTCGTTTGTTGTGATGCCGTAACGGTAACAACTAACTAACTTAGATGGAATGCCTTGTGACACCATACCATACCAGACTTACACTAAAAGTTAAGGGCGTACAGAATGAGGTACACAAAGAACAAGATGGAAAGATAACATCAAAGAAACTACACCATGACGAGTCTATGGTCAAGGAGCCAGAAAAATAAGAAACAGAACCTTATATCTGCCTTGACACAAAATGCAGTAGAAGAGAAAGGAAGAAGAAGAAGTGTTCACAGGCTGTAAGCTCCAGCTGAAAGTCCTGGTTGTTCATCCACTTCTGGACTTTAGTCTTGTTCCAGAACTTGAGTTTTGCTTGCACATCCATTTTACAGATCTGGTTTATTTGTGAGCAGACTGTTGGTTCCTCGTCTCACAGGCAGTTGTGCTATGACTTTGAAGGAAACCCCTAATTAGACTTTTATGACATGCTTACTGGAGACAGTGGCTCCATTAAAAAAAAAATGTTTAACCCAATATTGGGACCCGGAAGCCTTTCATAAGCAAGCAACAGACAAGGGGTACTACACCAAATTTTACCACCCATTTCTTTCTAGATCATCCTCTTGCCTTGTAGCATGCTGTTCTCATCAGGGTCCTTGCCGGTGCTTTAGAGCTAGTGCACTGTGCTCAGCTTCTTCGGAGTTAGAAGAAGAATGGAGAACTTATGGGTTACTACCCGTGTGCCATAATGTTGATCCGTTGTTCAAACCTCTCATGTAGCACATCCTAGCTGCTGGCTGATTTAGTTATATTCTGTGACATTCTACAAAATCATTTACCAGTTCTGTATCTACCACTGTTCTTAGTTCTTCGTTGGTGACTCTGTCTCTTATTGTTTTTTCTGCTGCATTTCTTATACATCTCATCTCACTTGTTGTAATTTTATGTCTACGTTTCAACAATCATCAGTCTGAGGAAAATGGTCTTGTTAGGAGTTACCAGGAGATTTGGCCAACGCTCAACATTCAAGGGAAAGGTGAAACGTATATAAAATCAGACGCCCGGCTCGCTAGCATAGTTGGCTAAACCAGACTTTGCGGCGACAAGATGACGAACTCCTTGTGGTCCGGGTTCACGCCCGGGGGTAGGCAGAAAAGCCACATTTCTCCCAGATATACGGTATTTATAACGGAATCAAGGCCGAAGGGTTGCGATATCCATAGTATTAAGCCAACGGGTTAACAACTCATGGTTTCTGGATATTGAAAGAAAAAAATCAAACAGTTGCTGATACCATCAGAATTGGAACTCTTCCCTTGCTGCTAAAGATGGGGACGGAGCGCTAATGGGAGCATCCCGAGTGCTGTGCTGTCGATTCTTGATTCAACAGTCAACAATTATCAGTTTTCTTAATTCAAAAAACCCTTCCTCTTGTGTTTGCAATTCCTGCTTTTTGATGCAATGCTTTAGACCAGAGAACTACTACAAGTTTTCACAAATCAAACATACCCAACCATAACTCGAAGATCCTCTTTCTTCTTTTCTATATCTGATCTGAAAATGAAATATAGCATAATTAATTTAAAATTAATGAATACATTGGATTTAGTTTGATTATACCTTGTTTCCCAAATCGAGTGAAAATTCAACCTGCTCTCCTCTTCTTCCTAGCATTCATTGGCTGCACACTCTAGTGAAAGATTCTAGTTGTTTATCTACTTCTGAACTTTGGTCTTGCTTCAGAACCTGAGTTTTGTGTGCACACCCATTTTACAGATCTGGCTTATTTGGTACAGGTCACGATAAGCGGCCCACGACTAAAGTAATTTTCCTTGCCATTCATGCTTCTTAGGTCGCTGGAACCATCAACCATTCATTAAATATTCAGATGTATTTAATCTCAGGATTATCTCCCATTTACTTGTTATGACTGTCACTAGGGTTAGGTCAAATCACTATGCATGCTTAGTTTTAATCATTACATTAATGGCATCAAATAAAGGTGATTGCTGTAGGTAAAAATGCAGTTTGCCACCATATGTGTGAATTTTGGTGTCCATGTCTGAGTGTGTATATGCTTTGAATGGTTAGGTGTGTTTGTGGCTGTGTGGATAGATGTATGAGTGTGTGTGTGCATTAATGGCTATGTTGGATGAGAGGCTTTGTGTGTGTGTGTGGGGTAGGGGTGTAGAGGATAAGGTTAGAGGCCGGGGGATTGGGGGGGGGGGGGGGGGGGGTTGCTAGTGTGTATGTACAAATAACATGTTCCAAACTATCCTCAATGATTATAAAGTAATGTTAACCAATTGAAATAATTCAGTTTGTATTATTTACTCCCCTAAGCCCCTCTCTGAAAGTGATGGATCTGTATAATATAATATGAAGCAGTTAAAAAGCCAATCACTAGAATGCAAGTCATCACTGGGAAATAAGTTATAAAAATTAATGGTATTTGTTAATCATAAAAATACCTGATTTTCTTTTCCAAACTTCTGATTTCTTCTATGGTGTGGTTCTCAAATAATGCATTAGCATCTGCAGGTTGGGCAACATTTGCACCTGAAGTGCCTACAATACAGAATCAATGCTTTTATAAACAATTTGATATGGCCAATAAAACTTGTGGGGAAGACAGTGTCATTTGCAACTAACGTACAATTTTATAGATATAAATCATTCAAGACCTTTTACATCAACACAGAATGATAACAGCTATTACTATCCATCAAGCAACGGATTGCAAACTGTTCCTCCCCACTTATGAAGCAACAGCAGAAACAGACGATGACAGATTGAAGCCAAGGTGGCATAGTGGATGGTTAGTGTATTTGCCTGCCATGATAGTGGTCAGGGTTCAGACCCTAGAAGTACCAGAAACTGTTTCTAACCAGCATAAACAAACTCTATAGAAAAGAACAAACATCAATTATTAGACTTCAGACAGGACACTGTGGTCTAAGAGCATACTTACACAGAACAGGCAGAAATGAATAAGCTGCTTGTGATTATGAAGCGGACAAACTCCTGAGCATGTACTGCAGGACCTCCCTAACTACACCTGGCAAAGGTTGTGGATCTGGCCCAATAAAGCCACATTATAAGAGAAGCTTCCGGAGCCTAGCAGCGCAAAAAGATGCACCATCCTGTCCGTAACCCAGATGAGACTAAATGTTTAGCATGGCTGATGTCAAACACAGAAGAAGTTTCTAACCAGAACATCGCTGGGATTAACCCAGCTTCATAATAATGGTACTTCTCGATAATTTTTAGAATATTCTAGTATCTGGAATGAACAATAATGAAGAAGGAAACTGTCCTTCTTACCTTAAAGGGCACACCCTAGAATTTGTGGGAAGTCCTAACACTTCACACTCCAACAGCTGTAGTGGATAACAACAAATCGCTGACACTAAAATAATTGCATTACATGGGAGTAAAGCACAGTGTCTATGCCACTTTAGGCCAAGATAGGAAACACTATAACCAATTCCTCATGGGATGGGCACAATCAGCAGAGGTACCTTGGAGTGTCTGCTGCATCAGACAATAAAACACCCAAGGAATGCTGAATGTCCAGTGACGTCGACTGTGATAACATAACATTCAACAGATGCATCTTTTATGGGACTATCTTTACAGACAATGCATCAAGACTGAGAAGCAAGATTATGGACAAACAGACAGAAGCAAATTCAAACATGATATTCTTCTTCTTCTTTTTCTTCTTCATTCTTCGCATTCACCAGCTGTAAACCCCAGAAGAAAGTTCTGGCTATTGGTTCATCTCTGGACTTAAGTCTTGTTCCAGAACCTGAGTGTTGCAAGCACATCCATTTTACAGATCTGAACTTGTGTATATGCAGACTGTTTGTTTCTTGCCTCTCAGGCAGATGCACTTCAAAGGAAGCCCCCAGTCAGTCAACTCTTACAACATGCTTGTTGGGGAGGAAGTGGTTCTATTCTTGTTTTCCCCACATTGGGAGCCTGGAACCCACATGGGTAACCAGCACTGTGTTACACTACCAAACATGGATACTAACAACAACGATAATCCCAACAAAGAAAAATCAAAATAACAGAAAATCCTGGAAATCAGGAAAGAAGTTGGGACAGAACTAGTACCAAATTACACAAAGAGAAAAGATATCAAATGGTTCAGACATGTGTCAAGACTACCACTAGACAGTGCATCACAGACAGTCCTGTCAGACATAATGATGTATCATCACCCGATGTCTGTTAAAAACCTGACAATGAAAGGCAGAGAATTAGAGAAGATGTTACCATTTTTTTTAAAAAGTCTAAGTGAATGCCTCATTTCCATCTCTTGAAGTATATCTGGCGTACGAGGCTAGTACCATATTTTATTATCAGTTAGCTGCGTATCCTTTACAGCAGGTTGCAGAACCAACCCAGCACTGTTTGGCTGTTGTGGTTTTTCTAGGCAAATTTAACATTCAGTAATTTACCACTGCTTTTAGAATGGTCAGCTCTCGGTACCACTGTTAAAACCAACCCAAGACAAACTGGACAGAGCTAGGATCGAACTCTGCTCCCCGGCATTACCAAGCAGGTTCGCAACACCTAAGCCACAGACAAGAGGTGTCAAGAGATATTACTGATTTTATAAATCAAAAAAGAAAAAAAAAATTGTACAAACTCTTGTGTGGGGGCCATAAAAAAGGGGAGCATATTTTGTCAAGACTGCCTGAGTACATCTTACTTTCACTTTGAAAGAAGATTTTTCTGGTTTGCCTTCTCTAGCCTTTGGCTATCTCCTATCAGTCACCTTGCATACAAGGCAATAAGTTTATGTCTACTCCGTATTGTTGTCTAGTCAGCCCTCTCATGGTCTGCCATGAAAAGCCCTCCCAGTAATGAAGCTGTCTTACCTCTCCAGGCTGCTCCCTAAAGGTTGACCATCTCTGAGACTTCAATCTTATCCTAGGTGACAACCAAAAGGGCAAATCCCAGACACTCGGTTCAACCCCCAGAGCAGTTATAACTGGGACAACCATAACACGGCTACCCCTAGCTACACCCAAGTTCTTTTTCTTTGACTACCTTTGTACTGTTGTTTGTACCCTACAGATACAGTCTTTGGGAGTGAGGTTGCGAACATCAGTCATCAGTAGCTAAGATATTTTTTGGCATAACTATTGGGGGACATTCTATGCAATCCCTTCTGCCAATTAAGATTCTTAGCAAGAATATAATTTTAAGCATTATTCATTATATTATTATTTCATTAACAACTTTCTTTACTTTACTTACTTCTTTTGTTTGTTATTGTTTATGTTTACTTTCTTTACTTCTTTACACTTCTCTTTTGATCTTCTCGCAGTAATAATAATTTCTAAATTTTTACTCACTATGATTCATTAACATTAAAACGCGTTTTATAAATATAATAAATCTACTGCTGCCGTATATCTACTGTCATATATAATGAAAATACAGCCATTAAATTATTATAAATGGGTGTGAAATTGGACCTGACACGTCAACCCCCTTCTTACCTTTCGGCCGGTGGGTGGCCATTTTGTTTACCCTAGTCAATTGTGTTTTCTGTAAGTGAAGAGCTTGGTTGCAAAAAATGTATGAGAAAGGCTTAGTTTTAACTCACATTATCGTTTGATTTTGCTAAGTGATTTAAAAACAACCTCGATGGGCCACCTGATAGGTATTCGGTCTCCTTTGTACGAAATAAAAGTCTCTATTAGTACTGTATTGTTTTCTAAATGCGAGCAAAATGCTCGTTCCATGATATCAGCGATTTACTGATTTAGAATCGACATCATAGCATTTGCAAGAATTGTTTTGCTAAGAAGACTTCAGATCCCAGAAGACCAGGTTTTACCCAGTCACAAAGTGGTTTTCGTGGGAACCGGTCTGCCACTGATATATTTTCATTACAACAGTTGCAGGAAAAATGCCGCGAACAAAGTCAGCCATTGTATAGGGCTTTTATTTATCTTACCAAAGCTTTTGATTTGGTAAGTCAGAAAGGTGTGTTCAATAAGCTGGAGAAAAGTGGGAGTCTTGCTACCTTGCTGAGCATTATTGATTCGCTCCACGCAGGTATGAAAGGTACAATCAACTTTGATGGTGTAACATCAGAGAAGTTTGTAATCATCAACTGAGTGAGGTAGGGATGTGGGATCAGGGGGGTGGCATATTCATCCATTCTCGATCTGACGGCAACCTTTACCATACTCGTAGGCTGAAGGCCAAAACCAGGATAAGGAAGGTACCTATCAGAGAGCTGCTGTTTGCAGATTATGCAACAATTACCACCCACACAGAGGAGGAGCTAAAATGTTCACTATCTGCATTTGCTGATGCATGCTGTGAATTTTGACAAACAATCAGCAAAAAGAAGGCAAAGTGTTAATGATAGACCTATAGTCTACGTGGGTGGTGAAGGGCTGGAGACAGTATACCATTTTACCTATCTGGGTTCCACTGTGAATAATAAACTATCGCTAGATCAAGAAATCAACATCATGATAGGTAAGGCAGCAACAACAGTGGGCAGATTAACAAAAAGAGTTTAAGAGAACAGAAAGCTAACGGCTTAAACAAAAACAAGTGTCTGTCAGGCTTGTGCTCTCAGCACTCTGCCTTATGGCAGTGAAACTTGGTCAATTTATTCGCACCAGGAGAGACGGCTAAATAGCTTTCACGTGTAATGCTCAAGAAGAATACTTGGCATTAAGTGACAGGACAAGGTCACAAATGCCGAGGTATTGGAAAGAGCAGGTATTACAATAGTTTTCTCAATTCTCAGTCTACGAAGGCTCAGGTGGATGGGTCACACATGGAGAATGGAGGATGGCAGAGTCCATAAAGACATCCTCTATGGTTAATTAATGCTGGGTAGAAAATTTCAAGGCCGACCTCTACTACGATATAAAGATGGGTTCAAACGGGAAGTGAATGATACTGGTATTGAGGCTGACTCGTGGGTAAAAAATGCCATGGACCGTGTTGTGTGGGAGGAGCATACCAGGAAGAGAATGGGAATGAAGGAAGACATAATTGCAGAACGTCTGAGAAGAAATACACGAAACAAAAATGATGACAACAATGTTTCTGAAATTCCATGCTATATTTGTGAAAGACTTCTCTTAACGTAGGCGGGTCTTGGTAGTCACACTCGCCATCACCGTGGGCTGTGAGACCCATACCTCCTCGTAGCGCGATATAACACTATCGAATAAAAAGACGGAAAGGTGCTAATCAAATTATCATCAATCATAGCACACCGGGCATATCCAAAAATGCTCTATCTAAAAGTGTAGATGCAAGGGGGCTTAATGTTAACGTAACCGTTATAGCAGTTCTCTTTTATGCATTCGTTTATAACTTTCGGATTATTTCAAATTATTTATTATATTTATTTGCCTCTCAGAAAACTACTACAATATTACTTCTGCTACTACTACTACGCGCCTTAAACAAGGCCAAAGTTAAGCGCCTCACTCCTGAGTGCCCGTAAAAAATTTCAAAATATGTAGTGACTTTCCGTCGATGTTTTCCTGTGTCAGTGTCCTTGAGTGCATTTATGTAACTAAACCGACGTGACGACCGCCTCAACGAAATACTAAGGCCGATGTAATGTGGAATTGTATCTTCATAGCTCTGTGTCAGCTCAGTTTACAGTACTGGTTAAGACGAGACTGGGAACACATTAATGGCAGGCGCATATTAACTGTTGACTGAAATATAAATCCGAGCTGAAGTCAACAGGTGGGAACGATTAACATCCCCGCGATAGCTCAGTTGGTAGAGCGGAGGACTGTAGTGGTCAATCTAGTAATCCTTAGGTCGCTGGTTCAAATCCGGCTCGCGGGATTCATTTTTTTTTTTTTTTTTTTTTTTGCAGTTATTTTTCATTTCATAAATATATATTTATAGCCTAAACCCGAGATAAAAGGTATGAGGTGGGGGGGAAAAAAGCAAAATAAAGAAAAGAAATGTAATATGGGACCCTGAAAGGGGCCTTGTTGAGGGTGGGTCCGTGTCAGGCTTGTTTGTTTCGGGAGGGTGCGCTTGGCGACCGCCCTGGTGGAATCAGTGACTGCACGATTGACTCCCAGCAAAGGAATCAGCTCCAACACCGACAATGGCAAGGAGAGCAAGTTGTAAACAGGTGGTGCATTCACACGCTACAACATCAATCCGCAAAGAAATAAGGACGCAAGTAAAGCAAAGCCCAAATGGCAGGCTGGAGCAGTCCGATTTTTCATTTCTTTTTAATTTTACAAGTACAAGTACAAGGCGGGGTTCACCACTAATTGTGTGCCTGCGTACTGTTTACTGGCTCACAAAGGCGGGGTTCACCACTAATTGTGTGCCTGCGTACTGTTTACTGGCTCACAAAGGCGGGGTTCACCACTAATTGTGTGCCTGCGTACTGTTTACTGGCTCACAAAGGCGGGGTTCACCACTAATTGTGTGCCTGCGTACTGTTTACTGGCTCACAAAGGTGGGGTTCACCACTAATTGTGTGCCTGCGTACTGTTTACTGGCTCACAAAGGCGGGGTTCACCACTAATTGTGTGCCTGCGTACTGTTTTTACTGGCTCACAAAGGCGGGGTTCACCACTAATTGTGTGCCTGCGTACTGTTTACTGGCTCACAAAGGTGGGGTTCACCACTAATTGTGTGCCTGCGTACTGTTTACTGGCTCACAAAGGCGGGGTTCACCACTAATTGTGTGCCTGCGTACTGTTTACTGGCTCACAAAGGTGGGGTTCACCACTAATTGTGTGCCTGCGTACTGTTTACTGGCTCACAAAGGCGGGGTTCACCACTAATTGTGTGCCTGCGTACTGTTTACTGGCTCACAAAGGCGGGGTTCACCACTAATTGTGTGCCTGCGTACTGTTTACTGGCTCACAAAGGGCCTTTATAATATATAGCTTGTCAGGCATCATGTTACCACCAAGTGGTGCAGAACCAACCACTCTATCTGCTTGTTCATTCCCTCAACACACCGGCGTACCTAGAAAAAATATACAAAGGGCACCAAGGACCTCTGAGGCGATGCTTGCCACTCTGCACGGAGTATATGTCTTCACGTTTCTCAAATTATGCCTTGTTAGTCCAGGTTTAGACCCTAGAAGTACCAGAAACTGTTGCTAGCCAGCATAAACAAACTCAACAGAAAAGAACAAACATCAATGTTTAGACTTCGGACAGGAAACTGTGGTCTAAGAGCTAACCTACACAGAACAGGCAGAAATTAATAAGCTGCTTGTGATTGTGAGCTCCTGAGCATCTACTGCAAGACTTCCCTAACTACGCCTGGCAAAGGTTTTTTATCTGAATCCTAAATGTAACTACAACAGGTAGGATCAAAAATTATAATATCAGGAAAGAAGTTGGGACGGCACCAGCACTAAACTACATAAAAAGAAAAGAGATCAAATGGTTCAGTCTCTCATTTACAGTCTCATGTTCGTGCAGCTGGTAATCAAATGTTAAATGCTGAATCAGGAAACGTTATCAGGCCACTCGGGACACCATGATAAGCGCTCCGTCCCCATCTTCAGCAGCAAGCGAATAGTTCCAACTCCGATGGTACCAGTAACTATCTGATTGTATATTAGTCTCGCCCTTTCTTTAAATGTTGAGCGACGGCCAGATCATTTGGTAACTACCCGTAGCGCTATTCTCAGACCGTTATGGCGGGTGTGTACAGCTGATTCTCATGTCAGTGGAAGGCAGCAGTGACTGCGTTCGCCTCCAGTCTCAAATTATACGTTGTGATATCATATGCCAGGCTTTGTTGCACTAAGCGACGTCAGTTTGCCTTTGCTATAAACCCCCATGCACTTCGTCTACCCCTTATAACAGAGCCGTCTGTATAGATAGTATCATCATCGGGTGCGATTTGTCATGAATAATTTGCCGAACCTCTGATTCCCGATTGCAATGATCTCGATTTTTTAATTCAACATTCAAATTTGTGATTCTGTAGCACTAGCTGGCCAGTCTCTGCACTCACTAGTTAAAGTGATAAGAACCCTACACAAGTCTTAAACTTGCTCGGACACTTTGACCCACTCCTCTCCTCGCCCAAATTTTTCAAGCCTGCACACATGTCTAACTGCGTCTTCAGCTTGCACCTTCCAAGACCTTCCTCTTTTTAGTCTGTGTCCCCTAGCTCTACCCAGGGCTTCATGCAGACTTTTCCTTCATGTCGGCAGCCACTCTGAGATATGACTGCTTGCAGAACTTTGAGCCTATCGGCGATAGCAGGCAGTGCAAGTATATATCGCAGTCATACTTTGAGGGTATCTCTTGTACATCCCAGAATTACCCGCATTGCTTCATTCTGTATGCGTTCAAGTTTAATCAGCTGACTCTTTGGTATGTTAAGCATTCCAAGACCAAAATCAAACCACTAATAAAACCTGCAGTGATCTCCTCCACCTCCGTGCTCACACTAGAAGTTGTAATATCATATGCCAGGCTTTGTTGCGCTAGGAAACGAACATTCGCTTTCGCTATGAACCCCCATGCACTTTACC